CATTTGATGGTAAATAGTAGCCAATGTACCGAAAATGTTAAATAAAAATTGAAATGATTGGGTTAAGGATTATAAGGATTAAACACATTGTTTCTAGAGGTTATTGATGTGTAAACTGGGTCGCTGACTCACAAACTTTACATAAAAGTCCTTTGGACTTTTATTCAGTTTGTGAGTTAATCGCCCCAGTTTACACATCAATAACCTCTACTCTAGAAAAAAATGTGTTTAATCCTATAATAACAGAGCATTATAGGCCCCAAAGTTAAAGCACATTTTGGAGATGTCAGCAAACCATGATTTTGTACATTTTTAAATTAAAAAGCTTTAAGGTGGTACCAAACACCTTGACTAAAATTAATTTGGCTCGTTTAATTTTCATAAAATTTTGACAAAATATTTACTTTGACGAAAATATAAAAATTTCAAAAAACTTGAACTACACACTTTATCAGAAAAAAATTATTGGATATATAGCAGTTTGACAAACACTAATTTTGATCATTGAGAAGCTTAATATTTCCTTAACAATAGAACGTGATTAAAATGTTCAGCTGATTTTTACAGCGTTATATCTCCCTGTAGTGTTATGTACCACCTTAAACATGTTACAGCAGAATGCATTGAGTGTGTAGGTAAAGGTAGAATCTTTGGTTAGCTTGCTTGTTAGCTGAACCGTGAAGTCATTATTATGTTATGTATACTACCCTCCTTCCGGAGTAGTCTAGTCCTACAGACATATAGATTGGTTATTTGTCAGACAAGTCTACTCTGAAAGGAGGGTAGTTTACCTAACCTAATAATGACTGCACGGTTCAGCTAGCAAGCAAGCTAGCCAAAGATATTACCTTTACCTACACACTAAATGCATTCTGCTGTAAATGTAGGAAAACCTTGGTCACAACCTTATAATGATCTTATATGTTCTGTAACCATGGTAACCAAAGAATGCAAAGGTTTATATAAAATCCACAAACATGACAAACACAAATGGAAACTCTGGATCAGAAGTTGAATCCAAATTAAATTAAGCTAAAAAATGTTTTAAATTATGGAAAAAAATGGACAGAGCTGCTGTAAACAATTAACATGTAAAACATAACAATTTAAAGCAGACACAGGATTACCTTATCTTAGAATTACACATTTGTAACCAGAGATCTTATTAGAAAATCAAAAAATTGACTCCCCCAAGGACTCGAACCTGAAACCTCTGTGTTCAATGGTGTTGGAAGTCAATGATCTAACCGACCAAGCTACAGAAGTGCTACACTAGCTCAACACTTATTGCTGGCAAAGTTTCTTCTACTAGGGGAAGCAATCCCCTCAAACTTTGTCAATGTGGCTTATTTGTTCCACCGAACAGAAGTTCCCCTGGAAAATTTGTTAAAAACAATGCCATTATATCTGTTCCTGTTGAAACAAATATTCTGTACACTTTATTCCGTTAGGAACAAATACTGTAATATTGTCCTGTGGATTGTTACCATGGTTACAGAATATTTCTTCCACTTGGAACCTAATTATATTATGAAGGATCTTCTATTGCATTGTAACTGGAGAGTATGATACTACATACAAAATCACTTTGTCTTCACAGCTAGGGCTCAAACCCTAGACCTCTATGTTACACAAGGCAGCGCTCTAACTGACTGAGCTAAAGAAGTACTTCCTTTGCTCAACCGCTTACGGCTGACTAAGTATCTACTATTCAAGGGAAGCAATCCCCTCACACTTTCCCAACCTAAAAAGTCATCATACCATTATGACTCTCATACAACACATACCCTGTCTAGAAATCCTCTCTAACCACCGTGGGTTTTTTAGTTGGGCGCCAATGTAACTAGAGAGCATGATTTTCATTGCAAAATCACATTGTCTCTTCCAGGACTCGAACCCGGGATCTCTGTGTTACTAGGTACAGCTCTAACCGACTGTGCTAAAGAAGTGCTTCCTTAGCTCAACCACTTACGGCTGACTAAGTATCTACTATTCAATTGAGGGCACCAATCCTGTCACCAGTCAAGGGTGTAACTTAAATAAGTTATTAGAGAAAGATAACATACATGTCGTTATTGTGGGCTAAAATATCAAAAAACTATGATAACATATGTATGTTACATGTTACAAAGAGGCAATATACATCCTTTACTTTTTTAAGTTGTATACAAGTTCTATTGGTTTTATTATTGTCTTTATGTATACTAAACTTTAGAAAGATATAACAGTTCATAGTTTGCCAATCATGTATGATAAGTACACCTAATGTTATTACAGAAAATATATGCCTGTAATAACTAATGGGTATTATTACAGCTTCTCTAGTAACATCTCTTCAAAGCGATTTCTCAGACAATATATCACAATGTATTTTAATTTATTGTAAGAAATAATGATCTGAGAGCATGCAATGAGGTTCTGCACAAGATTCCAAGTAATTCCCTTGAGTGTCTCATTTTATAAGTTACATGCCTTGTTATTACAGCTTAGTGTATCCCTTAAAAGCCTTGTCTCATTGATTTACCATGGTCGATCAAAAAAGTATTAATTGAATTGGAAAATTAATTATCAAGGTTATGTATTAAGTTTCTGTGCAAAGTTTCAAGAAATCCCAAGAGCCCACTAAAAATAAAAATATTTTTAATATATATATTAACTAATAACAAACATATGTTACTACAGATTAAGAAAGAAAGAGCAGACAACTCATGAAAGTATCTGTAATAACACATGTATGTTATTTTTCTCTAATAACTTATTTAAGTTACACCCTTGACTGGTCACTGTGAGTGAGCATGACAACTTCTCCCACCTCAAGAGTCATGCAATATACTATTAAACCTTTTCAATAACTCTCGACACCGACTATTGACACCTACAGTTTACAGGAGAAATAGAGGGGTCGTATCAAAGATAAAAATCATTCAGGTATAACATGCATGTAAACATATACGAACACATTCGATTTGAACGGTATTATTTTGAAAAAGGACGGATATTAAGCAAATATATCTATTGTGGATTTTCTGTGTTTTTAACCCTTTCTTTCATATAAAACTTATTATATGTAAGCATTTATTTATAAACCATTTCTCTTTCAATTCTATAAATCGAATAAAAAAAAAAATAATCGGCAATCTATTCACATCCGAATCTATTGCTTCTTCGGTAATATCATTATTAATATTTAGGTGTACGAGTTTTCCATGGAAGACCGAACCGCTTGCCAATAGCCGTTAACTTGTTTTTGGAATGTTATTCTTTTTGACTCTACATTTTATCAACCCAATAGTAATTAAGTTACGGAGAGGACATTGTAACGGGACTTTCTGTCTGTCCGTTACGCGCCCAAAACACACTCGTGGACATCGTAGAGGTTGCGTTTCTCAACAGATCTTCACTATACTTCTGTACATATTGAATATAATTGACTGTTATAAGTTGTCCTTTGTTATTGATACACTTTCTACCTTACCGGGCATAACATTTACGAGAAACACGTCTAGTGTCTTTTCAGAAGCTAGTACTGCATAGCCTGTCGTAGCACTTGCGTTTAAGGGTGTCAGTTTTTACTCATATAACTTTGGTTTTCTATGAAAAAATTGCCCTTTTCTCTTGTCCCCGGATTTGTTTTGGTTTCTTGATTTTCCCTTTTGTTGATCTACGCTTCGGTTTTCTACTCTTATCTAGTTTCACTATGCTTCCCAATTGACTTTTTTATTTCACCTCTGACCAAACATAGGGGGATCTGTTGGATCCAATTATATAAGTAAAACCGCCGCCGAATATGTTATGCGACGGTTCCAAGCCCGGAATATGTTGGTCAATGGTATATTATTTTCTCACAAGAATTTTTATTTTACAATATTATGCTGCGGCATTGGATTTGATCTCTTTTTTTGTCGGGACCGATCAGATCTCGCTGCTTGGTAATGATTACCCGACAGTATTGAAGATCACGCGGTAACTCTTAATCTGTTTTATGTGTTGCATTGTGTGATTTTATGCTTTATTCGTGTCGTGTCCATAACCCGTGTCTGCCTTTTCCCATTATTGTCAAAGCCTGTTATGTGCTTTTTGAATTAAAAACAAAATATAACCAAAATATGAAATAGGACATTCGCTTTATCTAAATGTTCTGTACAACTTGTCACTAAATACAGATTTAAATTGAACATAGTATGAGTGAATTAAAAAAAAAACTGCTAAGTACGAAGGAATCTTGAGGCCAAAAAATAACGGACTAAATTGTATAGAAATGTGCCGCCCATGTCAATAGACATACAACAATTGTCTGTTTAAATACTTACTACTTTTATTTTCTTAGTTTAAAGTAGCTTTAATCTCATCTTCTAAAAATATTACATAGAATATTAAAGATCTCCCTTTCATTCATTCATGGGGGTCTGGATGGGGTCCCTATTCTGTATTCTCTTACTTTTTAAGCCATTTTCTATTTCTATTATTTTGCCCATTGTTTTCTATTCTTTTTTTTTTTTTGGACTATTTTTCTCTATTCTTTATTTTTTTGCCCCATGATTCTGCAGTATTGGTCCATTTATGTCTATTCTGTAAACCCCATCAAGACCCTCATTCATACTCAATTCAAAAATATAATTAAAGAATTTAAATCAGTAAATGGTTTACAACAACAACAAAAATATCGTTGTGGTAAATACATAAAGGCAACAAAAAACCCTTTCAGTTCATGCAGTTACTGGTAACCATTATATACAACCATTTAACTACTTTGAGACGACCACTTACATCTTACCTGTTGTAGTCGTTGTCAACTGTAGGTGTAGACAATTGTTGAAAAGGTCTATTATGACTCTCACAACACATACCCTGGCTGAGATATTATCCAATCAAGATATTAAACAAAAGTCACTAAGGTGCCATCTGGACTACTCAGTGACATATATACATTATTGCCTAATTTTCAATCTTGGCAGTATTTTTTTAGTCTGTTTAGAAATCTGCTTTCATTTTTGACTTACCAGTTTTGGAATTATAACAATAACATTTCTTATCAAATATTATTCAGTGAATGACACGTTTACCACTGTACAGCCGGGCAGCAATTCTCATAATGGCGTCGAAAATGCGACAAAGCTCACGTGCTTATCCATTCAAAAAATGGCAATTTTTAGAAACGGCATTGACGTCACGAAAAGGCTGCGTAAAGACATTTAACCTGTTTCCCATTCTAAACCAAGTATACCCTTTGATGCGGCAGGTTCCAAACTTTCACTACGTTATTATTAAAAGGCTGAAAATACAATATTTCATTGCAAATTTGGTGGTGAAAGATGAAAATACGGGCCGCGGAAGTGACACTTGAAAATAAATAAATGTAAATTGAAATGACACACGAAATAGTAACGTCTATTCCTATAGATGAGATGATAACTATTGATATTTTGTTGAAGAAAAGCCCACTGATAGAAAAACTCGTCAGGTAAACCGGCCCTGTGACGATTCAACAAGTCGAAAAATAGGACGTTTAAAGGGGAATAACTCGATCCCAAAACAACAACAATACGACGTTGATCATAAATGACTGATTGAAAAATGTTTTCCCCTTATTATTGATTTGTAAGCAGTGTTACTGGGCACAAAATAGAAAGTTTAATAAAAATGTGAGTTTCAGTTTATAAAAATATCATTGAAAAGCGGTCATTTGTTAAATATCGTGTCTTCCTGTTAGTGTATCTGATAACCGTAATTGGAAGGAGGTTAGTCCCGTCAGGATATAAACAGTGATCATCATGCCCCTCATCTGTTACAAATTTATGTACTTAATTGAAGTAAATGGTGTTCTCTAGAAGCTGACTTTGAATTTAACACGTCCACCAGTTTTAATGGTGGATACACTCCTGATATTTGTAAGAATGGATTGAAAAAATATTTCATGGAATCATGGTTTTTATTTCAGTTACTCTTCTCATAAAAAATGTCATCCTTGTTTTCTCAAGAAAAGTTCATAGTTGTGATTCTTAATTGAATTAATCAGAGACATATTAAACAACATATCTCAGGTTAAATAATTGTTTCTGAATAAATGTCAATGAAAAAAACATTGTTTTAATATCTATTTATTTGAACTAAAATTGAAACCACAAAAATACATTTTTTGTCCATACTGTTCTAACAATATCCAGAGGATATTTTATTCGGATAATTTAACTAGCAAAAAATAATTTAAAAAAATATATTAATGATCTTCATCTTCCTTTAAAAAAAATCCAGATGAAATAAATTAAAGTTACTTTAGATTGTTTAAAGGATTTTTTTTTCTGAGACAAGTGTCTGTGGTTAAGCAGCAGTACACAGAGTTATACTCCTGGCGTTAACATTTACAATATAACAACCAGCAAAGCCAGAGAGGGGTATTTGCAAACTATTTATAAACAAAACAACTTTAATATAAACAATGTAAACATACTAACATTCAACCCGACAGTATTTAATTCTTAAACTTAACCCACAGCACTAATTATTTAAATTAGGTAAATTATTATAAAGAGAAATCAGGGCCATTTATAACCAGTTCCTTGAAAAAAGTTGGTCTTGCTATTTTGGTTCCTTTCTAATAGGATTTTATAAGTTATTTTAACTGATTGCATGATTGTGACTTTTTAAAATTATACTTTTCAATCTTTTTTCAAAAGAAGTAAACTTTGCAATTTCATTAAATTTTTAAAAGAAAGCTTTTTAACAAACTATAAAGCTACACAAAATTAAAAAAAAAAGAAATATTAGCATCACCCAGGTATCACCTCCACTTACTATTAAATCAGCATAATATAACCAACCTCTAAAAGAGGGTCACTTACAAATGCTTGGTAATCTGAAATTTCATAATTATAAGTTTTATAATTGGCTATGAAATGTTATGTGACCTGTCTTATGCAACCATAAAACAAAAGATAATGTTGAAAACTAAAAAGTAAAAATATAAATAAAGGAAATGAAGCCATAATAACAATCAAATTAAATAAATGAAATTATAAATAAGTAATAATAAAAATAAAAATAAACAGATGTGAATTAATTAGTAAAATAAATTGCTTAGCTGAGCGCAGCTGGATACAACGGCAGATGTCCAACCCTGAAAAGTTGGGGCCAAAATGGACACAATATTCACACTTGATACAGGTCTGAGTTTGGATTGTAATTAATTATTTGACACATTATAGGTTTCTGACACAGAATAACTGTTGTCAAAGAACTTAAAATTGGTTATATGATTTGAATTTATATTCAATTTTTTGCTTTTGTGCAATACACTATGCTGTTGCAAATTGTTGAACCCCCCCCCAAAAAAAAAATTTATTTTTTTTTAGTTTTTTTGCTTTTGTGCAATACACTATGCTGTTGAATATTAACCGCACAAAAAAGTATTTGAAGAAATTTTCTTTTTAATTTCTGAAATCTTAAATGAGAAAAATTGTCCCCCCACAAATTCTTATTGAACCTCCCCACCCCCAATTTTTTTCACCTCCCCCTTTCCCTCATTCCAAAAAAAATTCTTAAATTCTTTCCCTCAAGATATGGTCAGAATCTCAATTCAAATTTCTAATGGAGTTTGTAACCATAATTACCCATTAAATACATCATAAAAGTCTTAAAATATAAAATGACATACATAGTCATGGCTAAAATTAATATTAATTAATAGTAACTGCAAAAAATAAATTGACAGCTAATCACCTCAAGACAATCATCATTTCTTAATACATAATTTACAAGCATTGTAAGGCAGATAATCAACCATACACAACATTTTTCTTTAAATGGGATTGGATTACCTCCCTTACACTGCTTTTAAATTGTCTTAATTGTCCTTTAACCAAAAAAAAATCCTTGTTTTCCCCCTTTTTTGCCCCTAATTCCTAAATGGTTTGAGCCATAACCTCCAAAAGTCAATCCTAACCATCCCTTTGTAGTATGGAAATTTGTGGTATAATTTCAGAGAGATTCATACACTTACACTTAAGTTATTGTCTGGAAACTACAAAAATGCTTATTTGGGCCCCTTTTTTGGCCCCTAATTCTTAAACTGTTGGTACCATAACCCCCAACAAAAATCCCAACCTTCCTTCTGTGGTTATAAAACTTGCGTTAAAATTTCATTGATTTCTATTTACTTATACTAAAGTTATTATCTGGAAACCATCTGTCTTCGTACGATGACAATGTGATACCAATATACGACCACAAAAATTTGGCAGTTCTTGAAAAAAATATAACAACTTGCTACTTGATCACATGGTTGAAAAAAAAATACACAGTTGGGATGATTTTGTCTTGTCCAGTAGCAGCTTAGCCTTGACCTGTTCAAGAAAACATCCAAACTCATACTAAATTTCCCAATTTTTAGAACTTGAAAACATGAAAGTGCAATTAGAAGAATAGAACTAAATATTTAAATATAAGTTATCTAAAATTGAATCCATGCGAATTGTTTTAAATCCCCAAAAAACTCTTTTGTGTTCAAAATGAATCTAAAAAAAATGTATGAGTTGTCTTCCTTAGTGCACCTTTTTACTTAATTTACAGCTCTTTATTTAGGGCAACCAGAGTTACCTCCCATATAATTAATGAAAATTTTAGTGAAATTTAGACACTCCTTTTTGGCAGAATTCACAGAAAATTTCACACTGAAATAAACATTTCAGTGGCCATATTATGAAGCTCTCAACTTCTTATTTATGTTTTAAAGAACCTGAAATTCATAACAAAAGGCAGACAGTTACAGAATATTGTACATTGTATACATGTATCAGACATCTTCAATTTCATATGAACCTGAGTAAATACATACAAATAGAATTAAAGTGAAATGCGAGAAACAGCATATATAGTATTAATTATAAGAATGGTTAACAAGTGTGGACGCAGACCAGTATGGATAGTATCCGGCATTCTGAGAGTATTGCCATCCCCTACCAGTTGAAATTATTTGTTCCCCAAAACAAAATTTGAACTTGATATGTAAATTGTCATGTAAAAACTATAGATACCAAATATCAAATCAGTATAATGGTAGTCTGGCATGACTAAAAAGAAAAGTGCAGAAAATTGATTAATTGTGTGATTTTTCTAGGACTAAGGATCATATAACTCTGCAAAATATCATCAAATCAGAACAAAATTCAAACTTGATCTGAAACTTGTAAAGGTTAAACTATATATGCAGAAAACAGATTACTTATGTGATTTTTCTGAGTCCAAGGGCCATAATTCTGCAAAAACTCATCAGACCGGAACAAAATTAGAACTTGATCTGTAACTTGTCATGGTTATATTATAATATACCAAATATCAAACCAATATCTTCAAGCATGACAAAAAAAGTGTGGAAAGCTGATTTCCTGGACGGATTGATTGACAGACGGACTGATGGACAGGGTGCAAACCTAAAGTCCCCTTCAACTTTGTTGGTAGGGGACTGTAAACATCAATTTAGAATCTACATAAACATTGTAACATTGAAACATTTATATGGAACTTAACATACCAGCTTTAAATGCTGCATATTAAATTATCTGAGCTCATCATTTAGAGGAAAGGTAACAGTAAGAATTAATTGTTATGTCAATGAATTGCTGTAGAAGAGCCCCAAAATGAGTATGCTGGACACCTATACAAATGTTATACATGTACGAATATATCCATTTGTCTGTAAGTATGTAAGACTGTTGGTCAACACTAAATGTAGAAAAGAAGTAACCTTAAAATTGGAGAAAAAGTGAAATTATATCACCAGTCCTATACAAATATGTGCATATTTTATTTTTCTTGAAATTAGCAAAAAAGAAACAAAAAAGTTTATTGAACGACATAGGATTCTGAGAAATAGGGTAATAGGCAGTTAGCGCCCTTCCTAGCAATTTCAATTAAACCAGATGCAGATTAAGGATTATGAAAAGGGAGAAGTGGGACATATAAAAATATGTACTATAATCATCAATTTAGCTTGAAAAGGCGGTGCGGACGGGACTGGTCCCTGTAAATCTCCCCCTTCAAAATTCATACATTTCCAGGCCTGCTCAAGCCCAACTATTGTAGGATTTCTTGCTGTGTTGAAGATACATTGATGGCCTAGCTTGGGTTGTTTTGTACATTTTGGAATGCACATTCCCCATTTCCATTCTTTATTCTTTTTGTATGCTATTTTATGTATGGACATAAGAATGCAGAGGACGATAACAAATTTCAGCATTTAAGGTGTTGGTGTTGGAGGAAGGCTACATTTTTTTTTATAAAAGATTCATGGTCTGAATGTTGCCCCCACCCCAAACTTTTTCTTTTTGACTTAAAATTTATTAATTAGTGTCTTGTAAATTTTCAACGAGTCAGAAATACGTTTTGCAGATGAAAACGTGGAAATTATTGTTTGAAAACAATCTTTTTCAACTGTGAACTCTTAATTCAGACTACGTCATCATAGTGGGGCAGAAAAGGGGAATAATAAGTAAAAATTAGCTGGAAAGGTTAAATATTGGAGAAAATATCAATATTACATAATTTCTTAATGATTTAACCAGTATGAAGTTTCATTTGATTCAAAATATGGACGTATTTTAAAAATTAGGAGAGGATTTTTTCCCCGCTACCTACAAATATGCTTTGGGGTTGTCAGGCCGCTTAAGTATTTTAAATCGCCTGGTAACGTCATGTGACCATACTGTAGCTATTCTCCATGCCTCAATGTATCAAAATATACCAGTCATATTTATTTTCACTAGGTAAACCGGCGGTGTGATTATTCGTTTTGAGCTGAAAAATTGACCAGGGCAGTCGATGTGAAAAAAATGTCCGTTTCACAAAATGGAAATAATCGCTTGAATTTATTTAAATGGCTTATGTCATCTCGCTTTTTTTATAAATTTATTTTGCTTTAATACTTTAGATGAAATATGTTCTAGATCGGTCTACAATTCCGTTTATTTTAAATGAAATTTGCGATTTTTCGATGCGTCGTTCACGGCCAAATTTCTTTTTACCGCGAAGCGACATCTGTTGACAGCTTTTCCTCTAATTATCTCCACTTGATTCTCTTGTCGCATATCCGGGGTTTTAACGGACAAATCAGATGATTGCGTTCCGGCTGTGTATAGAGTGACATAAAAAAATCTGTTCATAAAACTTTCGTGCAGATTTCCAAACATCAAATTTCCAGAAAATCATGGCAGACTCTAAATGAATGTTTAAAGTACGCTGGTTTCCATTTGAATTTGAATATTGTTTAAAAAAATATAGTGTGTTTCTTGTAATAGTTTGAATATTTAAAAAAAGCAATTAGCTACAGAAATACAATTATGCAATATTTAACCGTTTTAAGGATCATCATATCATTGTTTTAATAATAATTATCATCAGCTTGTGGTTTACTCTGGATTTTAGGTGATAAGTAAACAAGCCCACTAGAAACAGAAGTGAAAGTAGAATCGCAAAGGTTGATATTTATAGATAAACACCACTGTGATAAACATTTGAGAGTAAGATAACAATTACCTTCTACACAATAATTCGCCAAAAACGACATTAAACGATTACAGATACTTACAACGGTTGAGGTTGGTTCACAAAAAGGGGGATGGGGGGTATACCAAGGCCGTAACCAGCTGGGTAACTAGGCTAGTCCAAATAATTATGACGTCTTGAAAGGCTATTGTATTTTTTTTTCTGTGACGCCTTCCTACGACTAAGCATACTATTTTAGTGAGGCAGGGGGTCTGGGAAAAATGATGTACAGTCAGAGATATAACTCTATAGGGTTATTACATAACTTGCGTGTGTTATTACAGATACTTTCATGAGTTGTCTGCTCTTTATTCCTTAAATTTTCTAAATCTGCAATAACATCAGTTCTGCCAACTTTTAATAATGCAAATGCGTGAGATTTGGCCAAAATCGTAAAGATCAAAGAGAAAAAACAATAGATCAAAGGAAAATGCCGCCAAATAAGCATGAAAATGCGTGAGTCTCACACTAAATGCATGAGACTTGGTAGCCCTGTAACATATGTTTGTTATTTTTAAAATAGATCAAAAATATTTTAATTTATAATGGCCTCTAAGGAACTCTTGAGACTTTGCGCAGAAACTAAATGCATAGCCTTGATAATTATTTTTTTAATTAAATTAATACATTTTTGATTAACCATGGTAAATCAATGAGACAAGGCTTTTAAGGGATAAAATTAGCTGTTATAACATAGCTTAGTTATTAAAGGAATGTAATCTATTATATGACCCACTTGGGATTTACTGGGAAGCTTGCGCAGAACCTCATTACATGCTCTGGTCATTATTTCTTACAATAAATTAAAATACATTGTAATTAAGCATGATGTATGTCTGAGAAAATGCTTTGGAGTGATATAGAGAAGCTGTGATAAAACCCTTTAGTTATTACAGGCATATTTTCTCTGTAATAACATATAGGTGTACTATGCAAAATTGGCAAACTTTGAACTGTTATATCTTTCTATAGTTAAGTATACATAAAGACAATAGTAATATCAATAGAACTTGTATGCATTTTAACTAAACTAGTGATGTATATTGTCCCTTTGAAACATGCATATGTTATTACAGTTCTTTGATTTTTTAGTCCACAATAACAAATGTATGTTATTTTTCTGTAATAACCCTATAGAGTTATATCCCTGACTGATGTAAAATCCTGCGTTCTGGGCATTTCCAGATTAAGCTTGACATCGTTGAGATACATTTGTAAGCGTCAGAGTTTATTTTTGGACACTTTTTTATATATTTTTCATATTTTCAGACATGTACTAACACCAAATGTTTAACAAGTTGTCTAAATTTATATGTCAGATAAACATTCAAATATGATCAATATTAATTTGAGTCCACCGCCAGAACACGTACAGAACAAACATCGACTCAGACAGTCAGGGGTACTACTTGTACAAGTAATATTTCATGTATTTATTTACTTGAAGAAGTAAAAAAAAAATACACTTGTTTAAGTTAATTATAATGTTTGAATAATCTCCCTTAATTTTCTCAAAAATTCACTTGTATAAGTAAATATTTTTACATTCCCACAAAAATTCTCAAGTTTTGAGATGTAAAAACATGCCTTTAATGATTTTTCCCAGGTTAGCTCCTAATTTTTGATTAAGAGTTCAATGTTTCATCTGATTAATTAAAAAAAGAAACTGATTGCGCAAAGATCTTAAGAATTTGCGCAAGGCCTTCAAAAATTGCTCCTTAGGGGCTTGTAAATGAGCAGTGTTCTGAAGATAGCCTACCGTCCCTCAATAATGTAAAAATTGGATTACGGAATGTTCTTTCAAATTTTAAGGTAAAAGAAACATGGATAAAAAGTAATCCATGCAGGTTTCATATTATCTAAAATTTGTTTATCTGTAAAGAGAACGATTCAAATAAATTTGGGGGAATTGGGGAAATGAATACTCAGACAGTTCTGCTCCCGTCTTGCGGTGCCAAGTACTTGATTTGTAAGTCTATTTATAGTTTTTTGATTAGTTCTAGTGAAAATATATTCAAGACTGGAACTCTTAACACCTATTGTGATCACAAATAACATCCATTAGTTTACAAGAATCATTCCTTCCTCACCTTCAGTATCGCTTTCCTTTTTCTGCAAGAGTCTGTTTTTAACTAGAGATCCACGATGATTACCGGTAACTAGGTTAATGTTGAATTATATCCTGGTAGAATAATTTAAAAGGAAAGATGTCAAGTTATAGAAATTAAGGTTGAGACAGAAAAAAAATGGCTATATTTCGTATTTAATTACCATAAACGAATACACACAAAAAAAAATCAGTGTCGAAATTTCAGTGAGGCAATTGCCTCACTTGCTTCAATGGTAGTTACAGCCTTGGTATACTATCATGACTGAATGTTAACATATGTTTGTTTCTCCTAACAGAAGCTCCCCTGGAAACTGTTATAAACATGTTATAATGCCTGTTCCTATTGGATCAAATATCCTTTACCCTTAATTCAGTAAGGAACATAAAGTACTCTATTATTTCTTCCACGATTCTTTATTAATTACTATTAATTAGAAAATAGTAGAGTATTGGGTTGCAGGTTATAAAAGTCGAGTTGCGAGTTACAAAAGTTGAGAAGTGCAAGTTTCAAAAGTTGATTTGCGAGTTAAGAAAGTCATGTTGAAAGTTAAAAAAAAGTCATGTTGCTAGTAATACAAAAGTCGAGTGGCGAGTTACAAAATTTGAGTTGTAAGTTAAAAAAGTTGAGTTGTGAGTTAAAAAAGTCGAGATGCAATCTAAAAATCTGATTTAGAATATAACCATTTAATAACATTTTTCATTTGCAGATTATGATCGCACCATTTCGATAATGTCATCATTATTTATAATTCAATAAACACAAACATATATGTAAAGCGAATCAGTCTATTAATGCATGATACAAAATATTAATTAGCACATATATAAAGATTAACGTGACCGAATTAGTAGACCCAGTAAGTGTAGTCTTCATGCTGAATGATTTAAACCGCCAAATCACACAAAACACATAACCTAAATGCCATCTATGTGCAAACAATTCAGAAGTAAATAATTTTAATCTAATTCATAAGATCAACTGACTGAAATTATATAAATGTCTTAGATATCTCCATCCCTCGATTCATATATATAGATTATATATTAATTAACATGAATATTATACATGACTTTCAGCTATCTTATAATTATAATACTCATGATCATGATGATATTCCCAAAAACATGTTTTTTTTTAAATGATCATATAACAGAATAATGGAAAAATGCAGAAAAAGCTGAAGTAGTGCCATATTTCAAGTCATTGACTTCAGAAAGTTTTTATGCCTCATTTATTTGAATAAATTACAAATATATTTAGATTTTTAATATTTAAACAGACAGTGGCATGACATGGAACCTATGTTCAGATGAAAAGTACTTATTACAAGCATGGATTGGAGAAATACAGCAGTGGAAGTTGATTTGCCAAATGGTGCATGTTATCAGGTAAGTCATAGTATACTCATCTCATCAAGGATTAGCGACTCTTAAAAATCTATTTATATCAATGGTTGATGCAAACCTACATACCCAGTATATGCTCAGCTTCTAAGTACAATTAATAATGCAGATTATTTTTATAATTCTGTTTGAAGTGAATGCATAAAAAGCTTTGATGTAGCTGACCATATATATTATAAACATATTACTGATTAAAGGGGTTAACTCCCCTTCGCCAGGTCTATATCTATATATATATCCTCCTTTAGCTCATAATCATTTTACTCTTTGCAATAGATCAAATGTTATTTTCACTTTTCAATTTGCTTTTGAATATTCTCTTTTAAACATACATGATGTAGCCACCTGTTCTACTTTCTTTTAGTTTAACAACAGAAGAAGGAAGTAACAAATACCTCCAGACTACTGTAATTTAAAGCAACAATTTTTGGCAAGCAATTCATTTTCACAACTTTCACAAGTAGAAGAATATTGTGACCCAACTATAAATCTAAATCGCTGCAAACATATAAAACTTGAATCTTCACTTATCATGCTTACGCATTTACATCAAGAAAATAGGAGCTAGAATCACAAAAATGAATAGCTGCAAAGCTAGTCCACTAATAAAGGAAAAATCATGAAATAAATTGTCTGAGAAAATAAGCTGGTTAACAGTATTACTATATCTTAATCCTGCAAATTAAAGGTTAGAATACTTATTCAAAAAGGAATAGACAAATAATGACCCAATTATTTTATTCATCGAATATGATTACAATGACTCCAAAATACATGGATCAAGCACAAAGAAAATTATGTGGTAAGCATAAGGGGAGATAATTCAAACCTTGAATAGAAAATTTATATCTTACAGATATACTTACATAAGTAAATATACTTACATCTTCAATTATATTTATAACCATGAAGGTATAAGTATTACTCCTGAATGACATTTACATAAGTATGCAATTCTATAAATATGTTAATTTTAATTATTGTCAGTTCTTTTTTAGTGAAAATGTATATTTAATTAAAGCAAATTTAACATTGATATTTCAGGCTTCAATTAAAGATATAACAGAATCTGGAATTCTTGTTGTTTTTAAAGATGAGTAAGTACCAGGATACATTAATCTTGAAGAGATTTCAAAATAGACGAAATGAGAACAAAACTTTATCTGGTACATTGATCTGTAAGAAACAGTTTATATACTAGTGTTGACAAGTGGATTCAATCAAAAATCCCTCATGTGATGAATTTTTCAAGTGAATGAAGGTGATTGTAGGTGTTATATTACAAATTGATAGTGATCACTATGAATCACCAGTAATCAAGACAAGCAAGAGTGATTTTGACACAAACACCTTGTGTGTACTACTATGTTTATATCTATGCACTTTAAAACATTTTCATTTCAAAATTAGGGGCCTCGGTGGCCTTGTGGTCTAAAAAGTCAAAATACTGTGAGTTTGAATCCGGCATTGGGCATGATGCACTCCACTCCAATCTTAATTGACTAGGATTGTCAGTTTTCCTACCAAAGGTTGGATTAATGTACTCTGCGGGCACTTTGGCTTCCTCAAACAAAAAAAACTGACCGCCACGAAATAGCACAATAGTGTTGAAAGTGGCGTTAAACACCAATCAATCAATCAATCATTTCAAAATTTTGCAAAAATAATCTCCCATTTGGACAAATACTCACATGTTAGCAAATTTATTTTATTTGTTTGATTTATGAAAGTAAGCTACAATTACAAATTAATATCATGATAATCTCATAGATCAATAATTACTCTTTACATTTTATTTTCTTTGCATAGAAATATGCTAGTGTTTTCATACGAATATTATACATGGACGATTCTACTCTTTTATAGAGGAGTTCTGCTTGGTCATCTGGATTGGTCCATTACAATTTCTCCTTTTAAACTAATATAGGCTTCCAATATGTGCATTTTCACTTTTATTTTGATGAGTAAAGTAACCTCTAAGGACACAAACTGGATCCTTTAAAGTCAGCACTTGCAAATTCATGCAAAGATGAGTTTAATAAATAGGTAGACAATAGAAGCATTTTTTGTTTGCCTTAACCATCATTCATTGTTTTAACATCCTTCTTTCAGCTTGAAGCCAGAAACCAGTGTAACATTTGAAAAAGTAAAACTGTTTCCACATCAACGTGAAGAGAGCTTTGATTTTAAACAAGGGGACATAATTCAGGTTTGTTTATATGGTGTCAAAAAGAGAAAACATAAATGAGAGTAAAGCTTCATTATAAGTTGCCACTTAGACAGTATGGACAGAAGGTTACTAAGACATTTAAGTTGAAAGTTTCATGATTTTTGCAGTAAATTATTTTAGATATAATTTCTGCAATATTCACCTGTGTTCACGATTATGGTAATCACAGCAGTATTATATATTGCAGTTTTATAATATGATGCTATATGAATGAAAGGAGATTATTAATGATAAAAATCCCTAACTTCATAAGACGGTGGTAAACACAATGACAGACCAGTGTCCACACCCAAAAATGACAGTGCAGTCTGGGTTCAAACTCATTAAAAAGTGACTTATCCAATTTCTAAATGAACTTAACTTCTGACATTAATAAACAATAACCACTGAAAAATTCCTGACTTGAGACAATCATATATTTCTATGTCATTTGTTCTCTGGTGGAGAGTTGGCATTCATACCACATCTTTTTATTTTTATATTGATTTTTGTTTAAATTCTGTAAAAGTTGCTTATTTAAAATTAAGATCTTGTACATCAAAAATTATCACATACATTCTATGTTTTTTTTACCCAATTCAAATACACCAGAACATTACACATAACAATTAGACAGAAATGATACAAGAAAACTGTATACGACCAACTCTCTGCATCACTGAACATATTTTGACAGATAATGCATGAGTTTTCTCACCGTATATAGGTTAAATGACTAAACAATATTCAGTGTTTTACCTTCTAAATAAGGTCAGTTAAGACATGGTTTACCTAGTGTAAGATCTAGACAGGTTTTTAAGACATGGTTTACCTAGTGTAAGATCTAGACAGGTTTTTAAGACATGGTTTACCTAGTGTAAGATCTAGACAGGTTTTTATACGACCGCAAAAAAAATTTTGTGGACGTATATTGGTATGACGTTGGCGTCGTCGTCGTTGTCGTCGTCCGGCGTCGTCGTCTGAAGTTTTCGCACTCTAACTTTAGTTTAAGTGAATGGATCTCTATGAAATTTTACCATAAGGTTCAATACCACAAAAGGAAGGTGGGGATTGATTTTAGGGGTTATGGTACCAACAGTTAAGGAATTAGGGGCCAAAAAGGGGCCAAAAATAAGCATTTTCTAGTTTCCAGACAATAACTGTGGAACGGTGTATGGATCTCTCTGAAATTATACTACAAGTTTCCATACCACAAAGGGATGGTTAGGATTTGCTTTGGGGGGTTATGGCTCAAACCGTTTAAGAATTAGGGGCAAAAAAGGGGGAAAAACAAGGTTGTCCTGGTTAATGGACAAATACTTTAGTACAAAACATAATTTAAAGCAGTGTAAGGGAGATAAATCAAATACATCATTGAAATTATCTCCCTTACACTGCTTTTAAATTATGTATAAAGTAATGGTTAATGAACAATTAAGATAATTTAAAACAGTGTAAGGGAGGTAATCCAAATACAACATTTTGGTTACTTCCCTTACACTGCTTTTAAATTATGTTTAAAGAAATGCATATTTATAAAGGAAGACCAGTAAAAATATCTTGTTGCATCTTTTTTCTTTTTACAAAAAAATCCAGATGAAAGATTTGACACTATATTTTAAATTCTATTATAAAATAGATTAAGTTAGCACTATGGTAAATTTAAATGGGTAATTATGGTTGCAAACTCCATTGGAAATTTGAATTGAGATTATGACCATATCTTGAGAGAAAGAATTTTTTTGGGGAAAAAGGGGGGGGGGGTAAAAAGAAATTGTGGGGGGTCAATTTTTTCTCATTTCAGATTTCAGAAATTAAAAAGAATTATTTTTCAAATATTATTTTTTTTTCAAATTTCAAATATTGAAAAATTTCAAGAAGTAATCTTTAATTGCACAGTATGGCGCATTAGATTTGTAAGATCTTTGACCACATTTATTTATTTGTTATGCCGATTCTAACCGTGTATTTAGATTTTTAATTTTGGGTCCAGTTTTCAAATTGGTCTACATTAAGGTCCAAAGGGTCCAAAATTAAACTTTGTTTGATTTATAACAAAAATTGAATATATGGGGTTCTTTGATATGCTGAATCTAAACATGTATTTAGATTTTTGATTTTTGGCCCAGTTTTCAAGTTGGTCCAAATTGGGGTCCAAAATTAAACTTTGTTTGATTTCAACAAAAATTGAATATATGGGGTTCTTTGATATGCTGAATCTAACCATGTATTTAGATTTTTGATTTTTGGACCCCGCTATCAATTTGGTCCATATTGAGGTCAAAAGGGTCAAAAATTAAACTCTGTTTGATTTCATCAAAAATTGAATTATTGGGGTTCTTTGATATGCCAAATCTAACTGTGTATTTAGATTTTTAATTTTGGGTCCAGTTTTTTAACTTGGTCTACATTAAGGTCCAAAGGGTCCAAAATTAAACTTAGTTTGAATTTAACAAAAATTGAATTCTTGGGGTTCTTTAATATGCTGAATCTAAATATGTGTTTAGATTTTTGATTATGGCCCCAGTTTTCAAGTTGGTCCAAGTTGGGGTCCAAAATCAAACTTTGTTTGATTTCAACAAAAATTGAATATATGGGGTTCTTTGATATGCTGAATCTAAACATGTATATAGATTTTAGATTTTTGGCCCAGTTTTCAAGTTGGTCCAAATTGGGGTCCAAAATTAAACTTTGTTTGATTTCAACAAAAATTGAATATATGGGGTTCTTTGATATGCTGAATCTTACCATGTATTTAGATTTTTTATTTGTGGGACCGCTATCAAATTGGTTCATATTGAGGTCAAAAGGGTCCAAAATTAGACTTTGTTTGATTTCATCAAAAATTGAATTATTGGGGTTCTTTGATATGCCAAATCTAACCGTGTTTTTAGATTTTTAATTTTGGGTCCAGTTTTTTAAATTGGTCTACATTAAGGTCCAAAGGGTCCAAAATTAAACTTAGTTTGATTTTAACAAAAATTGAATGTTTGGGGTACTTTGATATGCTGAATCTAAACATGTGTTTAGATTTTTGATTATGGGACCAGTTTTCAAGTTTGTCCAAGTTGGGGTCCAAAATTAAACTTTGTTTGGATTCAACAAAAATTGAATATATGGGGTTCTTTGATATGCTGAATCTAACCATGTATTTTGATTTTGGACATTGGACCATAATAGGTAAATTAAAAAAATTGAAGTTCTTAGACCACATTCTTTCTGTATCAGAAACCTATGCTGTGTCAAATATTTAATCACAATCCAAATTCAGAGCTGTATCAAGCTTGAATGTCGTGTCCATACTTGCCCCAACTGTTCAGGGTTCGACCTCTGCGGTAGTATCAAGCTGCGCCCAGCGAAGCATTTTATTAAGACATGGTTTACCTAGCGTAAGATCTAGACAGGTTTTTAAGACATGGTTTACCTAGTGTAAGATCTAGACAGGGTTTTAAGACATGGTTTACCTAGTGTAAGATCTAGATAGGTTTTTAAGACATGGTTTACCTAGTGTAAGATCTAGACAGGTTTTTATACACCGCAAACAAATTTTGCGGTCGTATATTGGTATGATGTTGGCGTCGTCGTCATTATCGTCCGAAGACCCATTGGTTTTCACACTCTAACTTTAGTTTAAGTGAATGGATCTCTATGAAATTTTACAATAAGGTTCAATACCACGAAAGGAAGGTTGGGATTGATTTTGGGGGTTATGGTACTAACAGTTAAGGAATTAGGGGCCAAAAATAAGCATTTTTGTAACTTCCAGACATAACTTGTGTGTTAGTGTATGGATCTCTCTGACATTGTACCACAAGGTTCCATATCACATAGGGAATGCTGGGATTGATTCTAGGGGTAATTGTCTCGAAATTTTAGGAATTAGGGGCCAAAAAAGGGGCAAAAAACAAGCATTTTTCTAGTTTCAGGAAAATAACTTGTGTGTAAGAGTATGGATCTTTCTGAAATTGTACTACAAGGTTCCATATCACAAAGGGAAAGCTGGAATTGAGTTTGGGGGTAATTGCCAAAAATGTTTAAGAATAAGGGGCCAAAAAGGGGCTAAAAATAAGCATTTTTCTAGTTTCCAGACAATAACTTGTGTTCAAGTGTATGGATCTCTCTGAAATTGTACAGCAAGGTACCATACCACAAAGGGAAGACTGGAATTGATTTTGGGGGTAATTGCCTCAAAAGTTTAGGAATTAGGGGCCAAAAAGGGGCAAAAAACAAGCATTTTTCTAGTTTCAGGACAATAACTTGTGTGTAAGTGTATGGATCTTTATGAAATTGCACTACAAGGTTCCATATCACAAAGGGAAAGCTGGGTTTGAGTTTGGGGGTAATTGCCCTAAACGTTTAGGAATTTGGGGCCAAAAAGGGGCCAAAAAACAAGCATTTTTCTAGTTTCCAGACAATAACTTGTGTTCAAGTGTATGGATCCCTCTGAAATTGTACTGCAAGATACCATACCACAAAGGGAAGGCTGGGATTGAGTTTGGGGGTGATGAATCATAAGGGGATTCAAAAAATTTGGGGGGGGATTTTTTTTTTCCTTTTTTTCCTTTTTTTTTCTTTAACATTTTCCATTTTAAATTGGTTATTTCTGATTTATATATAAAAGCAAATAATAATGATATGGTTTGAATAGGTAAATTAAATTTTTTTAAGTTCTTAGACCACATTCATTCTGTGTCAGAAACTATGCTGTGTCAAATATTTAATCACAATCCAAATTCAGAGCTGTATCAAGCTTGAATGTTGTGTCCATACTTGCCCCAACTGTTCAGGGTTCGACCTCTGTGGTCGTATCAAGCCGGCACAGCGGAGCATTTTATTAAGACATGGTTTACCTAGTGTAAGATCTAGATAGGTTTAACTGTATTTTTCATAGGTTTATTCAAAGGATGATGAAGATCAGATTGAAGGATGGTGGAAAGCTAAGATTCAAGTTTTAAAGAGAGACAACTGTTTTATAGAATATATAGATAGAGATGGCATGGATTTAGTGAAGAAGAACAACATTCGCCAAGTAAAGCAGGGGTTTGTACTCAAACATATCAATCTTGTACATAACAAAAGTTTGACATACATCAAAGCACTAGATTTAAAATATTGAGGTTTCATAAAATGAGGATCTATGCCAAGGAAATTAGGTCTACAGTAGTCTCGTTTTATTCCAGTAGTTAACGAAAATATAACAAAGTGTTTGGTACCTACAAGCTGTCCAAAAATGCTTTTTTCCCAAAATAATTTTTTTGCCTAACTGATTAAATGCAAGGATTGATTTGTTTTAGCTCATTAAGTAAAAAAGTAATGACCATAGAAAGCTGGAAATCAAAATTATTCAGTGTTTTTCCTAGTATTTTCCAATGGAGCATGAAATTTGAACTAGCACTGTTTTTCTTAAATTATAGCAATGGATTTAGGACCATGGCATTATGAAGCTATTATGCCAGTTTGGGAGAACACTGTCATTAGTCTAAGGACAGACAACAATTCAAAGAAGATTCAAACTATGTAAGAAGAACTCATTGGCTAACAAAGTCCTTCCTAAAACAGCCAAAATTGGGAGGAAATTCATTGTATTTTGCTTGCAACATCTCAGAAATAGGCCTTTCTGTTTCATTATCATTTTCTTAAGTTTAAAAAAAATGTCAATGGAAGTTTATTTTTTTATGACAGTTTTTAGGGTTTTTCTTTTTTAATTGAATGACTTTTTAGTGATGATATTTCTTTTGTAGTGAATTTTTTAGAAAGCTTATAGTGAAAGTACCGAAACATCTCAAAGCCATGTAAGTTTATGTATAAATTTGATTCATTCATTCACAAATTTGATATTACATTAAATGTTTTGTTACTGCTTCTGGCAAAAGCACACATCATTTAAAGTTAATAGCAAAGATCGTTGGCTTGAAGTTTGAATAATGTATTTTGATATGGTGACATCCCTTCTTACAGTCTTTTACTGATTAAACTAGAAAATTTTAAAGAAAGCTCTGCATGTCTATTTCATATAAAGCAGGGAATATGATAATTTCTCTTTCAGTGTTGTTATTATTATGCATGTTTACAGTTTCCACATGACATTTAAAATCATCCATCAATCAATCAATATTTTTTTTTATAAACTTGTATTTTCAACTTCCTGAACTAATCTGATGTATATTTTAAAATTAGTTGCCTTGATAATATAAAATTATAGTTACACACCATATTGCATGGATGAAATCTTCAACATGAATACTAAATTTATTCTGTTAATAGAAGTATTTACATTTAAATGCAAATTTTTCTGCCATAACTTAAAATCACATATTCAAGTTCCTGCAAAATGTTGCATCACAATTTAAAACATTTGATGTCATGATTAAAAAGTTATTTTGTTGTTTGATGGCAGAGGGTTATATGGAGACAGATCTAGGGTTTTTGGAGACAAAATTCCGCTAAATACCAAAAGCATAAATATGATTATGCTAATAAAATACAGTAGCACTTGAAACTTGAAAGCAGTCACTTTAAAGGGAATGTTTTTGACTGATCAATGATTTTGTAGTTGTGAAGAAGCTGGAATACATTCAGAATTCATCAAACATTCAGGTGTACTTGCAGTAATATACAGTCGAGCATCATCATCCTTGATTTTTGTAGTAAGTTTAATTTAAACATGTCTATGCTAGATTTTTTTCATAATTACACCTTATATAAGAAAGCCGAATTTTGATTGGTTGATAGCCAGTGTATTTTTCGCATATTCTAATATTTTTTCCTCATTTCAAACGAATTTGCCTGTTTTTCACCACTGCCGGTGAATTTGCCTCAAATACCATGGTATTTGCCATTTTGGATATTCCTTTTTTACGAGCATTTTCCTGCCAAAATTTTTCGGATATGACGTTACATAAAAAAGCAAGCTAACGTGTATTAGTACATGTATAATTCCCGCGGTTCTATGATAATATCCTCTTATCCTCAAAATTATGCATAACCATGTTAATGAATTAGTTTCAATCCAAATCTATTCGGTGTAATTAAACAGATATATCATGTTATGGAGGGGTATTTGCGAAAAATACCAGTATTGGGACCGAATTTCCCTCGCCTATCTAGCATCGGGAAATTTTGCAGTCCCTTGACTGGTATTTTTTCGCAAATACCCCTCCATAACATGATATATCTGTTCAATACTATTGCGGCCAAAAAGATTGTTTAAACCATTTGGTCCGGGAACACAATTATCGTCCTTTGATTTTCGTTGTCTACAAATATAGTCCCTACTGTGGACAGTGTATCAGTTGCAATTTTATTCATACCCTTCCAAATTTATTTCTTCATGTTTTGTGCCTCAAATAGCAAATAGGGGGATGAAATTACACTGTAAAAAAATTTGGGTCATGAATTTTAAAGTAAAGTAGTGATTTGGTCCAGCTGAAAAAGGTTAAAAATTACTATAAATACCATTAAATTCTTCTCAGCAACTACAAATCATAGCTTGTTGAAAGTATCATGTTCATAGGTGCTTTACTATTTGATTGTGTTTTCCAATATATCAGGCTCATTAACTTTCTATTTCTGGATGCTTATATGTCGTCTTCTTTTTTAGCCATGGTGTTGTCAGTTTATTTTTGACTTAGGAGTTTGAATGTCTCTTTGGTATCCTTCGCCTCTCTTTTTATATATTTTTATTCATGTATGAAATTTTTGTCACATTTTTCTCAGGCGCTATGAATCTGAGTTTTCTAATATTTCTTATCAAGCTTCATGCATATATGTGTGCATATATACCTTCATATAAGAAGATAATTGAGACAACTATCCATTACAGATAATTTTTAGCATAAGTCTAATTAGTAAATATGTTATGAGCAATATATTTTTCTAACATTACTGAGTTTGGTTTCATATTACATGTATTATGCAAGTTAAAATATATTTTATATCTATTTTTGGCATGAGGTTTTGTGGACCAAATTAGGCTTAAGTGTTCCACAAAATGTGTATATCCTTTCTCTAAGAGATTAGGGGATTTTACAATACATGCATTGCAGTAATGGGATATGTCTATTAGTCTATCCGTCACACTTTCTTGCTGACTTTATAGCTTGATTAAAAATGAGCAAAGTCCAGTAAATTTTTTGTATGAAGCCTGCAAAATTGAGTCATGTTTATATGTTATCTTGATTTAGAATGATTGGGTTCCAATAATTTTTCTTCAATTTTTGTAACATTTATTACAAGATTAGTTATGTATAGCTGTATTATATGTGTTCATAGCACAGCTGTGTATTTCAAATGGTCCCACATTTATGTGAGGAACTCTGACTTAGATTAAGTAGAAATTTCAAATATTAAATGTTCATCTAATCTGCCCATTTTTGCTTTTTTACATTAAACAGTCTTATATATTGTTTTGTACCTTAATCAGGCCGTTGGTTTTCTCATTTGAATAGTTTTACATTTGTAATTTCGGGCCCTTTTATAGCTTGCTATGCGATATGGGTTATGCTCATTGCTGGAAGTCGTACAGTGACCTATATATAGTTGTTAACTTCTAATTCATTTGGTCTTTGGCGGAGAGTTGTCTCTTTGGCAATCATTCCACATCCTCTTATCATTTAATATAAATTTTGATATTTTGAACAGTCTACAAGTGAAGATTTAAACAAAAAGGCTGAACTTCTATCAGATTTACATGTGAAGGCACTAAAAGAAAAGTTACAACAGAGACAATATCAGGTAAGTTCTATACAAATGGTTATTTTCTTGCTGTGTTGAAGACCCTTTGGTGGCCTTGGGCTGTTTTCTGCTCTTTGGTTGGGTTGTTGTCACTTTGACATATTCCTCGTTTCCATTCTCAATTTTAATAAATGATATACAGTAAACATGGATATTTTCACAGGTTGTCAATTTTGTGATTTGAATGCATAAAATTTTCGTGCAAGGGTTAAATTCACTAATCAAACTGTAAGTGTGTGCCTTTCGCATAGATATTATTGATTTATACAAATTATTACCACTAAGGATATTTTCTTGCATTTTACATGATCGACAAATCAGTGACAATAACCCTACTCCAAAATGTGTAAGTTTACATTAGCAGAGAGAGAGAGATATGGGATCACAGAAGGCCTAGCACATCTCATACCAGGGACAAAATTCAAAGGACCGGGACAATATCACATTGTATAAGTAGATTTTTTAAAAATAAAATGTATTTATAACTTGAGAATTTTGTAATTTTGTTAACTTTAATTTCAAAACTTATTTAGATTAAGGGAAAGTTACAATAGTTATCAAATCTCATATTTCGATTAAAATAATCAAGGAAACAAACAAAAACTAAGGAAATTGCATGAACTCTAAAAGGAGCAAGACTGGGTGTGCTGACAGGGTAAATATCTCATGCTATACGTGCATCTTCTGTCATGTGTTTCAACATTCAGTCAAAATATTACAAACTTGAAATCTGTAAAATTACAGATAAGACGACTATTCTGGTATTAAAAGTTCTATTTTTATAGAGATTATAAAAATCAACAAATCAAATGCAGGCCAGTAATTTTTTTTTCTCACTTAGGGTTTACCTGAATTTGACCCCTTTCATGGTTCTGAAATATTAAACTGTATTTGCTATATGGTTTTAAGGGTTATATGTCCCTCTGACAGAGTCCATCTCACCTTCAACTGGATTATTTTCTTGGTTCATTTACAAACTTTAATTTCTTGTGATTAGGTCCATTTCTCAAGATAATACTGCTAAAATTCTATTCAACTATGGTTTGTTAAAAGAATGGTTGTCAGGGTTAAATTTCCATTTGATAGGGTTCATCTGATCATGACCTTATTTTCATGGTTCAATGTCAATGTAAAGTTTGTTTGATTACCCGGTAGGTCAGTTTTACAGTTACAAATATTTGGCCCTATATGTATGTTTTATTAAATGGTTGTTAGGGTTTCTGGTTTGTCTGAAAGGACTCATCTGACCTTACCCACATTTCATGGTTTATTGATCGTCCCTCAGTTTTTTCATTAGGTAAGTTTCTTTAATACCATAGGGAAAAGACTGAACTATTTTTGGTATATAGAATGTTTGTAAATGGTACATGTTGGTTTTACTGGTTTGTCTGACCTTGATCTGATTTGGAATTAGGTCAATTTCCCAGTAACTATATGTATGTATAAATAATAGCTAAACTTTCGTTGTTACGGATGCATGTCCAGCAAAAAAGGTTCATCTGACCTTGACCTCATTTTCATGATTCAATGATAAAAATTGAGTTTCTTGAATATTTGGTTATTTTTTCATCAAGTTTTGTTTGATGTTTGGGCTTTAGAATTTTTATTTTCCTTTTTTTTTTTGCCTTTTAACAGTCTTGTTCAAAGCATTTCGGGTAAATTTGCAATAAATGACTACCACAAACATAGCAAAAATGTGAAATGCACATTTTTTTATTGTTTTTGCAGAAAAAGCACAAGCATACAGAAACTTTCATGGTTTCGTCAGATTTAATGGGACTAGCCATTGGTACCAAAGGTTCTAACATCAAGAAAGCTGAACGTATGAAAGGCATTGGGTCTGTTACTAAAGTGGAAAGTGAAGGTGGATATCTTTTTAAAATTTGTGGTGAGGTAAAGTTTGTTGATTATAGTGAAATATTGTTTTTGGATCATATATATATATGCGAAAATTTTTAAGAGGTAAATTTTCTGAATCCTTGTAAAATAGATCGTAAATCTAACCGAAATTTGTATGGTCCTTAATCACTTTCAAATACAGACAATAATGAACAGTTAGCTACAATACTGATATCATAATTGTTTACCTGTACAAAATTAATTGGAACTCTAACTGGGAGTAGGCTCAGCATCAGGTGTATGACCTCATGAAGAGCTGGGCATTTCTAACAATAATTGGGTATATTTTACAACATGTCTTTAATGCTTTTATTGCAAAACATATGATGGATATAGTATGGCATTTTATTTTATGATAGAACTATTTTAATGCAAGATTGTGCTAAAAAACATTAATTAATTATACACTTTTATTCATCAATGAACAGTTGCAATAAAACTTGCATACAGTAATTTCTGAATTTATTTAATTGACTACCTTTGATTAAATGGCATTTGTAAAAACAAAGACAGCTAGATTGATGAAAAATACACTAAGTTGGAATTTATACCATTGAATCACATATTATTAACACTATCAACAAGTCAGAGGTCATTTTCACTTTCATCCTGATAACTTTTGACCATCTTTTAGATACAGATATTTAAATTTGTCCTTTGTCATTGAAGTCCCCAGAAGCAGTTAAACAAGCTAGAGGTTTGTTGGAGTTCAAGAAAGAGCAACTAACAGTACCACACAATTTAGCAGGTAACTTTTTCTTAAAGATATTTAAATATATATAATTGGCATAAGTTTACAACCAAGGGCCCCCCTTTTTGAAGTTGTCTATGTTGGGGGAAAATGATAACCCTGTTCACATTTTTTTTATTCTCAAAAATTGTTTTTGGGTAAACACTTGCATACCCAAATAAAACTGCAAAGAGAATCATTTAATTCTTAAATATATTTCTTTCCAATTATACAGATATTTGTTCTTTTAGATTGAATAATCATGTCCAATAGCAAAGATCGGTAGATACGTCACTAATTAGTATTGAATATGCATATATCAGTCACATGACCGCACCTCATGCAAACAAATCAGTAATAACAATGGCATCCACTCAAGATTTTATGAAAATAAATTTAACTGATGAAGACATTCCTGGGACAAAAATACATTTAAATGATTTTGAAACTGTGGAAATGTCCAACTGAAGAGATGGATACAGTGCCGTGGTATTAAAACTTCTGGAAAACGATCAGAACTTCTACAAAGGCGAGTCACCTGTTACGATACACCCATTTCTTTTGTTGACATGTTTTACCTGAGCTACAAATAGTCAATCCTTTAAATATCGGAAGGTGAACTTTGTCACCAGGCTTTGATTTGCAGTTGACATTTAAATGACACACCTTTTTCATTGACACAGTGACAATTATGGAAATCATATGCAAACACACACACAATCCGTTGTTTACATTTCGCACTTGTGTGGTGTTTATAAAACTTAAACTTCTCGATAGGTAAAATAAAAGAAAAATTCATTCATCTAAAATAAATCAAATGAATGATATAAAACTACGAATATAAGGAAAGAAACTACCATTTTATTGTTAGAGAAACCAGAGACATATATATATACTTGTATATATGTCTCTGGAGAAACATATTTTATACTCCTAATTATTACACATGTAAAGATGTAATATACTGTAAATTCAGAAATTATTGCGTGCATTTATTATTGCGATTTTGTCATTTTAGACTAAAATGCGATTTAAATTTTTGCGATATTGAGAAAAATCCTGTTTAATTCATATAAAAAATTTCAAAATGCGAGTTTAAATTATTGCGATTATAACCCTGTCGCATTTTTCGCAATAATAAAAACATCGCAATAATTTCAGAATTTACAGTAGCCGGTGTAAATTTAGCTGTGGAACCGAACTCTTATCCTGGTGATAATTTTTTGACAATTTACGGATCATAGAGTTTGTGGACCGCAAATTGACAAAAAAGATATCGTAAGGACCATAAGAGCTACGGTTCTGCAGCTAGCAGAAAGGCACACCATATTGAATTCAGCGTCGATGGTTGTAAATGGTACGATATAAAAAACAAAAAGACAGTGAAAACATTTCTGATGAGAATAAAAGAAACCCTACACTTCCCCCTGTTTTAGCCTGGAAACAATTCCTAACAATCTGATTCCACAAAATTTCAACAATGGTCAAATATAACATGTAAAAGATTATACCTTCTAGAAATTCACAGTAGTCTTGATAAATCGATATGGGACAAAAGGGGACACTGATTTGTCACATATGACTTAAAAACCTTAAAGCATTAAAAGTGGCAGTGTCTCCAATATCATGGACACATCCAATATCATGGACACAGTTAAAAGTTGTACATGTTATTACTTTTTGAAAGCTAAAGTTGATGCATCAATGAAAAAGGAACAAAGGAATGTACATGTGAATCTATCAAATGTCAGTGTAGCTGTTCTTGATGCAAGCTGCACTTATCCTGCTTCAGCATTGGCGCATTGCAACTATGTTGCAGCAGTACTTTTATTTATTAATAAACATATTAAAGATAATGGTTGTGATCTCCTATCTTGTACAGCAAAGCCTTGTGAGTAGAGTCAAGGGGGAAAGACTGGGGCAAATCTATCAATAATTAGTGAAGCAATGCATACAAACAAAAGGCAACACCGCTTTGTGATGTTGACCTTAGGCCGTCAGCACACGAGACAAATCCCTTATGGTGTGAAAAAAGAATTTGTAAACGATTTAAAATATTATGGCCTTACTGAAAGTAAGTCATCAATGTGGGAAAGTCTTCTTACCTGCATCATAAAATATGACAACTATGCTCTTGATGATGAACGTAAAGTGATGCATAAAGACTTACTTTGTTCTTTCTTTATCAATATTCGCAGTGACCGATCTAACTTTAGTACAAATACAGACAGAATCAGAACAATGGAAATTCAGTCAATGGTTTTGCGTAAAAGCATCAACTGCCAAACAGGCCCACAATCTTTTTAAAAAGTTTATTTGTTGAAACAAACACACACATAGACTTAACTTACAAAAAAGATTATAATTATTTACACCAAGATGTCGTTAAATGGAATTTGATGCCCTGCATTAATCATGCTTTTCAATAACATATGGTGAAATCTCTAAAAGACCCCCTCCTAAATTATTGAAAACACTCATTCAGCATTGACAATTATATCTTGGTGTAAATTAGATACACCCAATCGGGCTTACACCCTCATATCTATAAAATTACCATTTTCTATGTTTATGTATTTAGAGTTATCTAGAATTGGTTTAGGATGAGGGATGTATAAATACACTGCCGAGTCCGGTCTGTGTTTTTGTTTGATGTTTTTCTGCTTTGTATCAATCTGATGAGTTAAGCCCTTTTCAACTGTTTTTTATAGTTTGTTCTTATGTTGTGCTGTGACACCACTGTCCCAGGTTAGGGGAGGGTTGAGCGCTCACAAACATGTTTAACCACGCCACATTCTTTATGTGCCTGTCCCAAGTCAGGAGCCTGTAGTTCAGTGTTGTCGTTGGTTCATGTCTGTCATATTTGTTTTTTCGTAAATTGTTTTGTTATAAATTAGGCCGTTAGTTTTTTCAATTGAATTGTTTCATATTTTACATGTCAGGGCCTTTTATAGCCAACTATATGGTATGGGTTTTTCTCATTGTTGAAGGCTGTACAGTTGCCTATAATTGCTTACATCCACTTCATTTGAACTTTTGTGGATAGTTGTCTCATTGGCAATTATACCATATCTCCTTATTTCTTAATTACTCAATGTAAGATAATAATTTTTTGTTTGATAATGAATACTTTTGTCAGTATTTATTTTTGTACTTTTAAAAGAAACTCACATGTGCTTGTTATTAAAATAGTGTGTGTATTTTTAGAAAAGAATCGCAGAGCTGAGTCTGTGTTCCTTAAAATATAAAAGGTGTTTCAGTTAAGGTCGTATGGACCTAGGCCTATCCTCATCAGGTATCCCTGGCCATAAGTTTTTGTTTTTGTAATATTAATAGAATTGTGAATGGAAACGGGGAATGTGTCAAAGAGACAACAACCCGACCAAAGAGCAGAACTATGAACTAAAATTTATTAATTAGTAAAACTACATTTACTTGTACAAAACGTTGTGATAGTTGTTCGGATGTATGAATGAAGTATTTCATTGATAAATTGACGTAGATGAACATGAACACGCAACATTGCTGCACTGATACATGATGTCATTGCCTAATATTTTCGAGTATCAAGTCCTGTCTATGATCATAACAAATATTAGGCAGTAGGACCAAAGGAAAAATGTAGAAATTGCAGATGGGTTTGTTTTTTCTAAAAAACTTGTAATTACGATGCAAAATATGTTCTAGTTACTCCCTTTTGGCCGATCGTTTGATATTCTCGCTTAACTGATTTTGATTTGTGTTCACTCCACCTTTTAGTTTTAAAGTGAATTGTTTTTCCTAGTCATTACGTTAGAATTCTTTAGAGTAATAAGATTGAAAAATTTTCCCACCTTCCCTAACTTTTTATATTGTTTGAAAAATATTTTTTTTTTTTTAATTTTTTTTATTTTATTTTTTATTTTTTTTTTGTGCATATTTTGCATCAGTGACTTATGCGGCGGATATTTAATTTTTTTGGCCCGCCATTAAATGTATTTTCCTAGCTATAACTGAATAAGTATTAGTATTTGTATATGTATTGGTATTTGTTCTTTATATTATTGTAATGACATGTACCGGTTATATGTAAAGATTTATGTTTTCGGCCAAATAAATTTATATTATTATTACAGTCTTTAATGAAGCCAAAAGTAATTAACTTATTTAAATTGTTCCAAATCACTTCATGAGTATCACCATATTAAAGTAATGCGATATATTTTAGGGCGTATAATTGGCAAGGCTGGACAAGCAATAGATGAGATCATAAATAAATCAATGGTAGACAGAATTATCAGGCAAACTGAACCAGATGTAAGTTTATCAGGCATTCTAATTCTAATTTAATTTATTTGTATTGAGAATTTTGATTGGACTACATTATATATTATGAGGGGTTAATTCTGTATTTAATAGTAGCTGTCATTTTGAATTTGTAAATTTATCAGTGTTTGAGTTTTCAATGATGAACAAAATATTTACATTTCTCACCTGACACAATGTGACAATAACCTCTTTGTCAAATTTTATTAAATTCTGTACTGTTCACATAGCCTTAAAACTTCTGCTGGTAGTGTAGCTATGATGTCAGACTGTTATGGTGTCTAAGACAAGAAACAAACAATAACTAAAATCAAATATTTTATTTATTTTGCTTTAGAATGGAGATAACTGTATTGCACTTTAAACTTTGCCAACGTAAAACTTGGTATCCATGATAAGTACTAAAATAAAATATTACACGATTTCTTGATTTGTTGTAGGGTGTTGTCTTCAATATAATCGGTACACCAGAATCCATAAAAAATGCAAAAATGTTGCTGAATTTTAAATTGGATGCTCTGAAGGTAATTAATTCAAATATATCATTTAAGAACTATCTCCTTGTGCTTTATAAATATATAAAAATGTGATACATGTATAATGAAAAAGAAAGGATATGGTGTATTAATTCATGACACAGAATCACTAGACACATAATGCCAATAATATAAAAGGAACAGTGCTCTTATTGCTGTTCTTCATCTCAAAGTCACAGTGAGGCCTATATATGCTAGCCAGTGAAATGTTTATACACCTATGTCAGGAAAAGATCAAAGTTATAAACTTATTTTCTATGTAAACATAATATGTATTGTTTGAATCTGGAATATTTTTGTACTCTACGACTCGCCACTTCGCTCTAGAGAAGCTCCAGGGAGAAGTTTATGTCGCCCTCTATTTTCAATAAAATTCCCCAATGTCGCCTCATGATTTTTGAGAAATTCTCGATCCAAATGGAAACGACCCGACAGTTGAAGAAATAAAAAACATGTTTTACCCGAATTCAGAACTGATTTGTTCGCGATATTATACTTCAACATTAAAATTGCTTGACAGGATGTTCTATAAGCCAGAAACAAGAAAAAACTTGATTTTGCGATGTTTGTTTATTGTCCGCCATCTTTGTTATTGAAAAATGTAGATGGCGCCCTTTTATCTTTTCAAAAATCTTATCATTTACCTAATCCATATGAATATGCAGTTTTAATTTTGATTATCATATTTACTGATACTAGATAAAAATTTGATGCTGCATTAAAAATTTCTCATTTCTTTTCAAATGATGCATAATTTTAACTGGAAACCAGTTGTATTTTTATGTACGTAGAAAGTTTAGTAGTCAGCCTGGAACCAGAAAATCTATTTATAAACTACAAAACGTAGTCGGTTTTTTGTTCAGGATTTGGTGTGACAGACTGCTACATGTACTTTGTTTCAGCTAAAGGTCCTTTATACAATATTTTGATGAATACTATATAATTAATTTGCAAAAGGACGTCACTATTTTACTTCCAAAGTCACTTATTTTAGTAAAATATTATGTACGAATTTTTGACGGGTCTCGCACCGTATTTGTTTACAATTTTCAAGTACTTATTCAATTTCCGGTAATGAAAAATACAACTTTTCCGATGTTTCTTTTTGTGATTTTGTCGTATTTAAACACTTATGAAGTGTTCTAGAATCATTAATATGCATTTCCAACAGCAACTTGATGCTGGGAAAAGGTCTTATCCATGAAAATACCGCAAACAATTGCACATGATTTGAAATTAATAGAGTATTACTTTACGTTTTCAACAAGTGACAAACAGTTTTTCTTTCTGAATTCCTATTAAAAATTATATAAAAAACAAATATATTATTTTTAATTTTGAGCTTAGCAAAGAAAGACAGTGAAACTGTATTCAAGATATTTTAACTTACTTATCAATAGATTATTATTTTGTTTTTGAAAGGGTTCTTGATTTAATTTTATAAGTCACAATTGTAAGCAATTCAAAACATACTTTTGTTGGAAAAAATCTTTGAGATGCAGCATAAAAGAGGGACGAAAGATACCAGAGGGACAGTCAAACTTGACAACGCCATGGCCAAAAATAACAAGACAAACAGACAAATAATAGAACAGATGACACAACATAGAAAACTAAAGACTAAGCAACACGAACCCCACCAAAAACTGGGGGTGATCTCAGGTGTTCCAGAAGGGTAAGCAGATCCTGCTCCACATGTGGCACCCATCGTGTTGCTTATGTTATTACAAATCCAGTAAATAGTCGAATTCGGTAGGTCACATTCGTGAAAAGGGAAGGGTATTGTAGTTATGACATAAGGAACATATCCGATATCATCTGTGAAACGGTTATTCCATAACGGTCAACCAATTTGTGATGGGGTCCGTAAAATTTACGAAGGGATGATTTCAACTTCACCTTTTGGAACTCTTGGTTTGATAGCTTCCTTGTGAGCAGCAATCCTCTATCAAGGAAATCATGATAGGAAATACAAGCCCGGGAATACCAATGTCAAATCTTCAATTCATTCAGACCTAGCTGTACAACCGTAGCTCTTATGGTCCTTAGGATATTTTTTTCTTTTAACAATTTGCATACATAGGTACATATGTAATTCAGACCACAAGCATGGCAAGGCAAGGACATACCACCTTAGCAGTTGTCATGCAAAAATGCTTTGAAAAATAACAAAAGGTTTAGGTTCCTAGAAAATTTTATTCTAAAAAAAATAAAAACGCGATCCTTCAAATTTCCTTGAAGTCTCCCTGTTGGAGCTTCACTTCTCCTAGAAGTCTCCCTGTTGGGTCTTCACTTCTCCCTGTTTGGCTGCCAGGGAGAAGTCACTTCTCCCTATAATTCTGAAGTGTGGTGACCCCTGTACCTTAATATATCATTATTGGCTGTATTTGTCTATATCCAAATGATTTTTCTTCCATTAAGGAATCTGTTGACAGCAGATTTATGATTGCTTTTGTTAAGTGTATCAACAAATCATATTAGATAAACTACAATACCCTTCCCTTTTCACGAATGTGACCTACCGAATTAGACTATTTACCGGATTTGTAATAACATGAGCAAAACGACGGGTGCCACATGTGGAGCAGGATCTGCTTATCCTTCCGGAGCACCTGAGATCACCCCAAGTTTTTGGTGGGGTTCGTGTTGCTTAGTCTTTAGTTTTCTATGTTGTATCATCTGTACTATTATTTGTCTGTTTGTCTTTTTATTTTTGGCCATGGCGTTGTCAGTTTGTTTTCTATCTATGAGTTTGACTGTCCCTCCGGTATCTTTCGTCCCTCTTTTAGACTATTGACAGGGTGGAACTTTTTATATATATATGATATAGACCTTTGTTTTTGTTTTTGATGAATGCTTTATTTTGTATGCTTGAAATTTGGTTCCTGCCTAACTGATGTATATAACATTAAAAGATTTTCAGTACAATTATATTTTAACTTTCTTGTTTTCAATGTTTTTCAATGTTTTTTATGGGTTTTAATGCAATTCCAGAGATATATATTCAGTTCTCTTTATTTTTTAGAACACCTTCAATAGCAAAAGAGGTGTTGAAGATACTGAAAGGAGTGAAGTATTGTCAGATGATGAAAATTCTTCTGATTTTATCGGCATTGAACAAATAGAGCAAATCTGTAGTCAACTGGACTTACCAAACAGAGGGAGAGGGAATAGAGCAGGAAGAGGAGGCAGGGGAGGGAGAGGTAGTAGATTGAGAGGAAGTCAGAGGGGAAGAAATAATCGACAACAAGCTGAAAACACACAAAATCAAAATAATATGAGATCAAATGTCATTCAGCAAGATGTCAGAACTACTACTGGAAGAAATGATAGATATCTACATGATTCTTTATCCAAAGAATTGCCTTCAAATTCTGGAGAGTCTTCAGATGAAAAACATTCTTCTGCTTCCATCAATAGTGAACTGCAAAATCCTCATCACCAACAACAAAATAGAGGCAGATGGAATGGTAATAGTTCAGGAAGAGGAGGCAGGAGAGGGAGAGGAAGTAGATTTAGTGGAGATCATAGGGGAGGAAATATTAACCAACAAGCGGAAAACGCACAAAATCAAATTAATAGGATATCGAATGTCATTCAGCATGATGTCAGAACTAACGTAAGAAATGAAGGATATCTCAGTGATTTTAAAACAAGAGAGTTGATTGCAGATTCTGAGAATTCATCAGATGACACACATTCATGTACTTCCATCAATAGTGAACAACACAATCCAGTTCACCGGCAACCAAATAGAGGTAGATGGAATGGTAATAGACCAAGAAGTAGAGGAAGAGGAGGTAGATATAGAGGAAGGCAGAAGAGTGGAGATAATCAGCCAAATGAGGGTCAAAGTGTACATCTGGCTAGGGTAAATCAAGAGAAAGAGGGTGGATGTGGAAAGTATGATGATTTTATTGCTGGAACTTCTCAATCTAAACAAATAGAGGTAGATGATAATGTTAGAAGTATTGCTTTTGAACAAAGTAGTGGTGGAGTGAGACATAAAGATACTAGGAACAAACCTAGAGCCAAAGATACTGGAACAAGTTCAGACGAAGCATCTTTTCCAAAATATAGAGAAGACAGGACCAATAAAAGGCATCAAGGTCGAAGAGAAGGTTATGAGGATAGTGATGAATGGATACATGATGATAGTCTTTCTCACTCTTGTGGAAATTCTCATACACAATCTGGGAAAACTTATACCGAAAGAACGAGAAAAGATTCAAATTCTTCAATCAGAGGAATTGGCGTAAGAGAGAGGAAAGGAAGTAGGACTAGAGGAGGATCAGGACAAAGACATCATCATCAACACAAACATCAGATGACAGATGATTCAGATGAAAATATAAATTCAGATGTAGAAATTATGGAAGTTGAGTACCTCCACTTATCCAGTGGTTTTGATGAAAAGTTTTCAACAGGTGAAGATGTTACAAAATCATTAGCAAAATTTAATGCCTTACTAGAAGATACACCAAAGGCTAAAGTTCAGGTGGAAAGTAAAAAAATGAAAGAGAAACCACTCAAAGAAGAAGCACTAGATAAAATAAATGAAATGGAGGTGCTCAAATTCTTAGTTCAGACATTTGGGAGTGGTTGTAGTTTTGGTCTTTTTGTCTGTACAGCTAATTCATTATTTCCATATTGTGTTCGAATGAAGGAATGGTTTAATACTAGATCAAGAAAATTTCATATTTACAGAGATGGCCCAGAAATTGTTTACATTGGTCCTTTTTACAAGGACCTGAATATTTGCAAGCACTTTTTTAATCCTTCAAAACCAACAATATGTGACAATCAGAACTGTAACTTCTTCCATATATGTAGGAATTTTGTGAGAGGGAATTGTAGAAGACAACATTGCAGCTTTTCTCATGACTTTGCTTCAGCTCTGAATGTTAGAATTAAAGAAAAATATGGACTTGAAGATTTTACAGACTCTGATATAATTGTCTTACTGAACTGGAAATTTCCAAGATTATGCCCTCATTATATATATGAACATGGTGGTTGTAAAGACACAGAGAATAAAGAGGAAGCCTGTCCATATCTTCATTACTGTAAAAATCATTTCTTTGGTAAATGTGACAGAGGTGATGATTGTAGGTATAACCACTCATTTTCAGATTCTCATAGTAGATGGGTGTTAACATCTTGCCATCTAGCCAATCAGAAGGAAGATAATTTGAAAAGAATGATTTATGTGCCTCCTAATTTGGAGAACCTCAAAGAACAGGTTAATACAGAAGATTTTTCAGTGGATGACCTTTCTAGAGAAGAAACCATTAAATCTACAACTTATCAACATCAGACAGATGGGAGAAGAAGGTTTAAACATCTTTCAACATCAGAGTCCAAGTTTATTGGAAATCAACCAACAATACAGGAAAAAATGGGAATAAGATTTTCATTGTCTAGTGAAATTACAGTCACTGAGGATACCCCAGAATCAGATGATAGTCTTTTGACAGAAGCTGCAGGGAAGAAACACATCTGTTTAGCACTAACGAAGAAAGAATGCCCAAGCTCTGTATGTTCAGATTTACATTTAACGAATGGTGTCCCATACTTGTGGCAGGTGAAGATGGATAGTGAATGGGTGTCATTTCTTCCGAAAGACAACTTTAAGATAGAAAATGCCTATTGCTCACTTGAACAGAATGTACATATTAAGGTTAGTACTTGGTACGCTTTAGAGACTGAATCAAATTTATGCAAAATTATATAAATTACTTTATGTATACCATTGATATGCAGATGTTACATTTATAATGTATTAGCATAGACATTTTTCTTTGTACATGTAACAGTTATGCTGATGGCTTAATGATTCAGCCATACTAATAATGAAGACATGCACAATATTATGTGTTCACTTAGCTTTTGATTATTCTATACCACTCATTCTTTTTGTGAAATGACAAAGCAAGATCTATCAAAATTCAGTCTTTACATAATATCAGGGTTTCTTGTGACTTGACTTTTAGTGTTGCAGCTCTTTCATTGCTATTAGATTTTTTTTTTATATCAATTGTAGTTTGTTTCAATCAACATCAACTTAAGGTGGTACTTAACACTTCAGGGAGATAACTCTGTAAAAATCAGCTGAATGTTGTTGTTAAGGAAATATTAAGCTTCTGAATGATCAAAATTAGTGTTTGTTAAACTGCTATATATCCAATGAAATTTTTCCGATAAAGTGTGTGGTAAAAGTTTTTTGAAATTTTTATATTTTTGTCATAGGGTAAAAGTGAATATTTTGTCAAAATTTTATGAAAATTAAACGAGCCAAATTAATTTTAGTCAGGGTGTTTGGTACCACCTGAATTGATTAGTTTACTGAGAGGTAGGGATAAGTCACTTTAATATGTCACTATATTAAGCATTTTATTTTCCAATAGAATTTAACATTCCCGACAGCACGAGCTTCCCATGACAACATCACAACAATGCATAGGAAAACAAATGAAAAATGTGATATAACGATGTAGCTTAAAAATGTTATTATAAGAATTGAATGCTTCTTTTTGTAATTTAATTGGGGTATAAACATGATAAAGGGTTGACCAAAGCACATTTTGTATGAAGTGCTGAAGCGCTTCATACTACAATTGTGTGCACGATCAAACCTTTTACAAACCTATAAAATTACAACTTCCAATACTCATATATAGACTAGAGTTATGTAGAACACCCGCTGGGTCATATTGTTTTGAGGAAAACCGATCAGAAAACATTCTGTCAAAACATTTAGTAAGAATATTTTTGTATTTAATGTATGTTGTTAATTATATTCATTAAATAATTTTTTTCTCTTCAAAGGATATTGTCTATTCTGGAAACATATGTACAGTTCATATAAGCTTTGAGATTGTAGATGAACATATGTATGGGATTGTTTTTGATACTACTGGTAGTGGTACTAATAGGGTTGATGTTAGACGTCTTAGTACTCCATCCTTTGGCGAGAGATATATGGCTGTAGATTGTTATCTGACACAATGGAGATGGTATTGGAAAAATGACTATGGTATTTGGTTATGTTATGATACAGTAAGTAATAACACCTTGCCCAAAGAAGATCTGATTTCGTGGAAAATTCTATTTTTAATATCCGTCTTTGATTAGACAATTAGGTTTTTCGTTTTGGAACAGTTGAGTTTATATAAAGGGGAAAGGGGGAAAATGGTAAATACATTGATTGCTCCTTAATCTTTCCTTGACTGTTGCTTGAGTTCTTAAACAGTGAACTGAATCAATCATACTTTACAGTTTTTTAAGAAATAAAATCAGTCAACTTACATCCGTTTTCATCAATCTACCAGTAAACATAACCCTGTTTGTGAAATTATTGCTCTTCTCTGTCTGTCAAGTCAGATGTGAAGCTGCATTATATAGAGTTATTTGGACAAACTCTTCTCAGTCTCTGTGTAGTATTTGTTGATTTGGACATGAACAATATAAAGATCAGAGGTCAGAAATCAAGGTCATGCATATGAGACAAAAACCATCAAAAATACAATTTTGAAAGAAATCTATATTTTATTGATAATAGAATTTTAAGTTTCCGGATGATTGATTAATTGTTATTCTTTCTGTTTCTTATATCTAAACTTATTCATGTATTCTTTATTGTAGGATTTACAGACTTACACATTAGAGGTGAAATTTCTGAAAAAACAGAAGACATACTTATTTTCAAGAGAAAACTATAAACAAAAGTATCGATTATCCTTCAACTCAATGGAACAGGTTAACTTGGAATATGGAACAACTAGAGTGCTCATTAGACGTCCATCGTTTGTTTCCAAAGAAGATCTTCAAAAGAAAAAATAGTAAGTGTCATCTGATCAAACTGTAGCAAAAAGGAATAAAGGCATAACATTTAGAGCAATAGTGATCAAAAACTTCAGGGTTGAAGGGAATTTCTCCAGAAGACAAACCCATTGCCATCAATGTTCAACAAATTTCCATTAAAAAAAATGAATCATACCTTAGACACTTGTGTCAAAAATTATGGATTTTTAACTGGATTTTCAAAGGAAAAATCGGTTATTGATTTTGGGATGTACAGCGGGCGGGCGGGCAGGCTGGCGGTCTGACGGGCGGCTGCCAAACAGTGTCCGTTCATTTACATGAAAACGCTTTGATGAATTTTTTCAATTTAGATATGTTGCTTCCTGTGACTAAATGAAGGTCAAGTTCAATTTTCACGACTTTAGATTTTCCTCTTCTTGAATTTTGGACCATTTCAGAAATTAAAAATTTTACTTATTATGTGATGGAGTTATTGCCCTTTGAACAGAAATTAATAAGTTTTTGTATAGATAGTCTATCAATGATTATATCTGTTCAATTGATTAGTCAGGAGTTGTCAAAAATTTCTGTATAACTATTTTTTTTGAAGTCATGTGTGTTTTGAAGGTAGATGTCACAGTTGTTATATAGTATTTTATTTTTATACGACCGCAAAAAATTTTGCGGTAGAATATTGGTATCACGTCGTCATCGACAATAACTTTAGTAAATGGGATTGATTTTGGGGGTTATAGTCTTAACAGTTTAGGAATTAGGGGCCAAAAAGGGGCCCAAATAAGCATTTTTCTAGTTTCCAGACAATAACTTGTGGAACGGTGTATGGATCTCTTTGAAATTATACCACAAGTTTCCATACCACAAAGGGATGGTTAGGATAGGCTTTGGGGGGTTATGGCTCAAACCGTTTAGGAATTAGGGGCAAAAAAGGGGGAAAAACAAGGGTTTCCTGGTTAATGGACAATTTAAAAACAGTGTAAGGGAGGTAATCCAAACACATTTAAAGTACAAGTTTGTGTATGTTTGGATTTACCTCCCTTACACTTCTTTTAAATTATGTATAAAGAAATGTTGTATTGTCTTTAGGTGATTAGCTGTCAATTTATTTTTAGAAGTTACTATTAAAGGAATATTAATTTTAGCCATGATTATGTATGTCTTTTTTTATTTTAAGACTTTTATGATGTATTTAAATTGGTAATTATGGTTGCAAACTCCATTGGAAATTTGAATTGAGATTATGACCATATCTTGAGGGAAAGAATTTTTTTTTTGAAAAGGGGGGGGGGGGGGGCAATCTTTTCTCATTTCAGATTTCAGAAATTAAAAAGAAAATTTCTTCAAATATTATTTTTTTTTTGCAAAAAAAGGGGGGGGGGGTCAATTCGCAACAGCATAGTGTATTGCACAAAAGCAAAAAATTGTGAATATAAATTCAAATCACATAACCAATTCTAAGTTCTTTGACTACAGTTATTCTGTGTCAGAAACCTATTATGTGTCAAATATTTAATTAAAATCCAAATTCAGACCTGTATCAAGCCCGAATATTGTGTCCATTTTTGTCCCCACTGTTCAGGGTTGGACTGGGGTCGTATCCAGCTGCACTCAGCGAAGCATTTTATTGTTGTGTGCATTAATGTTAAATTTTTACTTGATCCTGTTTGTGGGTCCAGATTTGTAAATATCATTTTCATTAGATAATAATCTATTTTTATTAAAGGATATATTTAGTTACATTACATTGTGTAGATAAAGTTGTTGACATTGATAGATAAGTTGCAGATCTATATTAGTTTGTGACAAATGAAAGAAAAAATATTGGGAACTATTAAGTACAGTCGAACCTCGTTGTGTCGAACTCCGTTGTGTCGAAATCTCGGATGAGTCGAAGTAATTTCTCGGTCCTGGTAAAATTCCCGTTTGTTCAATGCATAATTACCTCTGATGAGTCGAACTCGGTTGATTCGAATACTCGGTTAAGTCGAGTAAATTTTATAGTCCCGTCGAAGTAAAATTAATGTAAATTGACCCCGATGTCTCGAAGTTCGAAAGTAAGAATTTTCGAAAGATGCAGACCTAATGATAAAAATTCAAATCGGATGTATTTCTTATGTAACCTAATCATTTTCAAAAGAGATTAAAGCTGAGTAAACATATTTGTTTGTATAACAGTTAAAATGACATGTTTATGGTGACCGATAATTAACACCTTTGTTGATCGTTCAAGCGGAATGTTAGTGTGTTGAACATTTTTCACCCGAGATAAAAACGAAACGAATTTAAATGACCCAAGCCGAGATTAAATGAATCTTTAGATTTAAAACTCATTAATTACAATAAATAAAAGAATTAGGACAATTATAATTAATTCATGATAATTTAATGTAAAGCAGACGACCTCATCAGAGACCATTCAGAACTTATTTGGTACCGCGAGTGATTTCATAATTTATAGTGACTGACCTTTGTAAATATTTGTGTAGATTTTTGATTTTATTTGTGCATGATTTGTATCTGTACTTTTCTGTTTAATTATTACGAAGGATCAAAATGGAGATTGAATACACAATCATAAAGTGTTATATCGAAAAAAGGCACACTGTTTATTGGATCTAGTTTACACAAATCTCATACCGTATTTCATGCATTCAAAATTTATGATGACACACTTGACCTCTGATATGTCGAACCTCGGATGAGTCGAATACTTTGGTCCGGTCCCTTCGACTTCGACACAATGAGGTTCGACTGTATATTTGATTATAATTTGAAAACATCATATCTTATTTTTTAGAGAACTATTTTGTTAGTGATTAAATCATATCTAATTTTAGATTTACATTACTGGTTCGTGTAAATAAGTTTGAGTTTGAGTTATTTCCCTTTGAACAGAAATAGTTTTATTCATTCAAGTATTTCATCAAAAATTGAATTTTTGGGGTTCTTTGATATGCTGATTCTATCAATTTACTTAGATTTTGGATATTGGACCATAATAGGTTAATGTCCAATTTCAAATTTTTCAGTTCTTTGACCACATTCATTATAATTATGTGTCACAAACATATGCTGTATCAAATATTCAATCTCAATCCAAATTCAGAGCTGTTTTAAGCTTAAATGTTGTGTGCATACTTGCTCAACTGATCAGGGTTCGACATCTGCAGGAAAATCCGGTTTGCTGTCACTCTGACAGCCTCTTGTTTAAAAATACTTTGCTAAAGAACATAGAAAAGGGTTGCCTATTTAGCTTTTCAGAGAATAAATGTGAAACATCAACTTTCAAGGTCTTGTTTACAGAATTATTTTTAACAATTCCAGATGTAGGCCAAAATATTGTGTCAAACAGGCAATGATTTTTAACAACACACAATATAAAGATAAAAGACATTTTTTAAGATTGTTTTTAAATCCAGGTCTAAGAAAAAGGGGGGGGGGGGTTGAAATTCAACCTCAAGGGTTGAGTTTATTGAGGGGTTGAAGTTATAGACTTTATAATTGCAGACCTTATATATAAACATACAAGTCATTACCGGTGTGCATCTTTAAAAAACTTTAAACATTATCAGTGGCAATTTGTTAGGTCCACAATCATCACAAGGAGAGTTTCAAATCAATTTTAAAATGACTTCTATTTGGTAAAACTTCTTATTTTTTTATATGAATGATATAAAAAGAGGGTTAATTTAATGTCAACCAAGCACCACAAATAAACAAAAACAAAATACATGCAAAAGTTGTGAATAAATAAAACTGACTTTCAAAGATATGCCATGGATATCAAAATCCCTCAATGCCAAAAATCATTCAGATTAAATGTTAACACTACTGTCAACCACTGATGTTGGTACCTGACTTGGTACAAGCACAAGAACATTAAGAGTTAAGGGGGTTGGGGGGTGTTTGAATTATCCTCCTTAAAACTATGTATACTTCAGGGAACAAAATAAATTCAAACCTGCTTTAAAAGTCACCTCTTTTTAGTGAAAAACTTGTCAGGTAACCAACCCTATTATTGTCCCGCTTTAGTTAAACCCATGCATTTTGACCCTCAATTTAAATGTTACCTCACTTTATGGTCAGATTTTTCTGATTCCTAGCTATATGTATACTCAACATGCAGACATCTTATACGTTAGGGTATTTCACATCCAATCTTTTATGGTAATATTCTTTACAAAGCACAAAAATGTCAATATTCACCTCAAAAGCTAACAAAACCTTTAAACAGACTTATTAAGAAGGGATATAGTTACGATACTGTTGTCAGGTCATTAAAGATTGCATATTTTGGTTTAATATTGATTCACTTATAGGGTCTTTGCATCGGAATTAAACATATTTATTCTAAAACCAGTTGTTGGCATGACACGGGTTATGTTCTTCTCATATTTTTTATGACGGTATAATACTAAACCCCTAACAGGAGGGATTGTGCCTGATATTCATATGATGAAGACATAATCTTTCAATCAGTTTAATTGAGGTCTTGAGCTGGCATGTCAGTAACTGCTAGTAGTCTGTTGTTATTTATGTATTATTGTCATTTTGTTTATTTTCTTTTGTTTCCTATTCTGACATCGGACTCGGACTTCTCTTAAACTGAGTTTTACTGTGCGTACTGTTGTACGTTTGTTTTTTCTACATTGGCTAGAGGTATAGGAGGAGGGTTGAGATCTCAAAAAACATGTTTAACCCCGCCGCATTTTTGAGCCTGTCCCAAGTCAGGAGCCTCTGGCCTTTGTTAGTCTTGTATCATTTTTAATTTTAGTTTCTTGTGTATAATTTGGAGTTTAGTATGACGTCCATTATCACTGAACTAGTATACATATTTGTTTAGGGGCCAGCTGAAGGACGCCTCCGGGTGCGGGAGTTTCTCGCTGCATTGAAGACCCATTGGTGGCCTTCGGCTGTTGTCTGCTCTATGGTCGGGTTGTTGTCTCTTTGACACATTCCCCATTTCCATTCTCAATTTTATAGGTTACCTTTATAAATGTATACATGTTTTAATGTTAGTTTTAAAGAATGGCTTGCAAATAAATTAAAATGATGATAATTTTCTATTTCAGTCCAAAGAAAATTATAAGTAAAGCAATTGAACTCTATGGTGAAGATTCTAAACCAGCACATTTTTATCCATGGGATCTTTCTAACGAGTTTGAATTGGTTGAAATAGTCTCTTCATTTACCAGCGAATATAACGATGTTCTGAGTTCATTCCAGAAGACCATGAATATAGGAAAATATGAAGTCAGATCTATTTATAGAGTCCAGAGCAGGAAACTGTGGTCAGAGTTTGAGACGTAAGTTTTGTTAAAATTACGGTCAGGTTGAGGTTATTTCTGTGTGTAAATTTTTGATATTTATTAAGTTACTTTAAAAAAGAAAATGTCTGTTTTGGAGTCTGTTTTATTAATTCACTAGAAATATAGAACTATATTCTTAGTCACAATTTTTAATCATCTGAACAAAAACTTTACGGAATGTGTATGTTATATACAGCTACATGTATGACTCTAAACTAAGCATCCCACCACAAGACCATTGTGGTAGTGCTATAGAAATACGTTATGCTTGTAATTTTGATTGTTTTTCATGATGAAGGCAATCACATCAAGATAAAATGTCCAAAGTATAAAAAAAAAGCCATCCTGATACATTTATTACCTGGAAAATGTTTGCCTACTTTTATCATGTTTATGCTTTTTTTTACAGCAAGAAGAAACACATGCATGCTGATGCAGAGAAAGATAATCCCACATTTTCATCAATAGATGAAAGAACTCTGTTTCATGGAACAGATTCTCTAGACGTTTGCAGAGGCATATGCATAAACAACTTTGATTTTCGAAAAAGTGGTAAAAACGCAACAGTTTTTGGAGAGGGATCATATTTTGCGAGAGATGCAATTTATAGTCATAGTTACACAAAGGCATCATCAGATTTTGGTGACAGATACATGTTCAGGGCCAAAGTTTTAGTTGGAAAATTTACAGCAGGTAGCTCAAAGTATCGCAGACCACCAGAAATTCCAGGGCAGAGTCATAAACTGTATGATTCTTGTGTTGACCACCCAGTAGATCCAAAAATTTTTGTCATTTTTGACAGGAGTCAAAGTTACCCAGAATACCTTATCAACTACAGAGAGAAGGATTATGGTCTGAGAAGAATTTCTTCAGGGACAACACATACTTCAGTATCATCCTATCCATCATCAACAGGAACTTCTCAGCAACCAATTCATCAAAGAATGCCTTCAGTAAGTTCTGCCTACTCATCAGGAGGAACTAGTTTAGGAGTTGCACAGAAACCAGTACAATCAAGTATGCATTCAACAAGTTCTACTGCCTACTCCTCAGGAGGAACCAGTTTTGGAACTGCAACTAGATTTAATACTAATTCTATTTCAGCATCAAACTCGCCAAGTGGAAGCAGTTCAGGGACTTCATCAAGATATAATCCTGTTTCTAATTCAGCATCAAGTATGGGGAATAATTCAAGTTCATCCGGTAATCAACCATCTTCATCACAGAACTACACAAACACAAGTAGAAAACAGGATAAAGATTGTGTTATCTTGTAATGATTTTATATACTTTCTTGAAACACCAATTTTGTGGGAAAATTCTGCTAGATACATGTTTTAATGAGCTCAGTAGAATTCCAAGTAATGATTTGATTGTCAAAGGTGGAGGAATTTAATTTATGTTCATTTGTAAAGGAATTTTAAACTGTCTCCTTAATTTTCAATATTTGTATATACATATGAATGAAAATAATATTAATCAACTGCAAGGTAACAGAAATTATCAAGTTGCATATTCTTACCTTTTTTTGTATTCTTAGCTGTTTTTAATCAGATTTGATTTCAAGCCATAATCGATATCTGAAATAATTGGAGAACTTATTTTATAATTTATTACATTCTGTTTAAAATGTTAGTCATCAATGTATTTTTAAAATCAACTAAAATATTATCAAGAAAATTTTATGTTTGTTTTGATTTACTTTCATATTTAAATTACCAATTTAGATGAGATTGTCATTTAAGGATAGCAAAACAAAATAAATCTGAAAAAAATAAAAAAGATACTTTAAAAATTTCGATTGCTTAATTTTGACACATTACACCATTAACAACTGTCATACAAGATGAAGGTTAAGCTAGCTATAAAACCTGGTTTAACCCATCACCAATTTGGCCTCGGAAAATACCTGTACCAATTAAGTCAGAAATATGACTTTTGTTTTCCATTCTTTTCCCATTCATTGTATTGGTTGATATAGTCTAAGGTTTGATTTTGTCAGGTTTTAAGGACATCCCCTTCCTTATTTATGTTAATATTTTTTTTTATTTCAATGATCACAATTATTACAAATGTAATCATTTATTAGTCTCTAGCTTTCAAAGTTAGATAATCAAGTCAAATTTGAGATACTATATACATAAACTTTTGCAGTCTATAATAGTAAAATCTTAAATAAATGATCTTTTTTTATCCATACAATTGAATATATGGATATAAGTTCATCAGCTAAGCTCTCTCTTAGTGTTTCAAGTTTTAGAATAAATACAAGATAATTGAAGATCTGCAAAGTGGTGATTCCACTTAACTCTTGTTCACTCAGGATTCTAATTCGTCAAAATTATCTCCCCATTACGCCAGTCAATTTTTACAATCGTAAAAATGAAAGCCATTGTAGGGATGACACGCTGTCATTTTAGCTCTTGAAAACCGATAAGTTTATCCACATAGCACCATTACGATCCTTATATGCCAGTTGTATTTTAAAAGACAAATGTATCTATTAGCTATTGAGCATCAATTAATGTACTTTTCTGCATTCAGTCAACTTAAAACTATTGTCTGATTGGTTGTCAGGTGGAATTTTCGAAAGTTCAAAAACATTTAAAAAAATTCTAATTAAATATTTCGTGGAAGGGCAGACTAAAAAAATTCAGAGGTTGAAGACTAATAACCCTAGATAACATGCACAAAAAATGAAGTTTTTTTTAAAGTTATGCATTTTTAAGATCCAGTTGTAAAGTCTGTCGTCAAGTACTTTTAGTAAAATTTTGTTATTCGAACACACCTACTCTGTTGTTATTACTCATTAGAAAAGTATTTCACTTGACCCATATATTTCATTTTAAGTACTGTGAATTTTCAATGTTACTAAATATTAAATCAACCTGTAGCCTAAATATATAAAAATAATAGAATCTGAAGCGAGGTGATGTATCAAATATTTTTGCTTTATCCGTTTTAAGACAGAAAAGTTAAACTCAAACACGCCTGAACATAAAAAGGTGCACTCGACTTTCTCTTTTCGATGCAATTATTGCTCATTTTTGGATTTTTTTCCAAAAAAACTATCGCCGGGGGCAAAGATGCAAATTAATGCTTTAGAAAGATCAATCTATTATCTTTCTGTGGAATTTTTTTCGGTAGAATTTACGCCTATGCACATAAAAGATCCACTAGGATTTGAACCTGCCACAATTGACTGTTTTATAAAAATTTGTCTATAATTTAAAAATTTACAAATATCTTGAAGCTCCATACTATAATTAAAGTAAAAACACGTATATATAATGCATAAAATCCTAAATTATGCACTTTTACTAAACTTTGTAAGCCCATAGAAACCGATGTAAATGATTCAAATTTTGCTTTTTTACCTTCTCTAACAAAGAGTTCCATTTCTTTTGTTTAATTTCATCGAGGTTTCCTGAAAAGCGCTTCAGACATATGAAATTATTTGAAGTGTTGTTTTGATTTTTTAACACAAGTAAATGTTATTTGATTTTCTTGATTGTTTTTTAACTATAGAATAGCTAAGAAATAGCATTGAATTATAAGGCTGTAACTGTTTTAGGCATCCTAATTGGTTAAGACATCACTTACGAGGACCTCCTGATTTTACAATGTACTGTACCATAACTATATTTATTGAATTTCTTAATAGGCCTTTTCCATAGGAAATAAACTTTCCACTTTGAATCACCACCATATTTACCATGATACTGTTTACAGGCATCTTGTGTGACATGATAAGGTCTTTGATATAAATTTAGATTGCATATTCTTGCTCTAATAGTCTTAGTTATTGCATATCACATTTCTTTTAAATTCTTTTGAAATTACTTTTCTGGGCATTTTTTGTTGTTAAACAATTACCTAAAGCAGATTGGTTTTGTGCATTTTATTGAAGTTTACCTTTAAATGATCATAATAATGTTGTCTTATAAACTTGTTGGGTTGCTGTGTCATAATTTCACCACATTTTATAAAAAGATAATTTTTTTTATCATTTTTGATTTATTATTGCACATCATACTATGAATATGAAATTATGAATTATCTACATATAGATTAAGTGATTTTTGTACTGTTACTGGATGCATGACATTATTTCATAGATTTATGGAATCATGTTTTTTTTCTTTAAAAGAAAACATTATGTGTAGATCATTTTTAATTCTTATAAGAGGGAAATTGATAAAGGTAATTTTTTTCCTCTATTTTACTTGTTGTAGAACATTATATATATATTTTCATATTCTGCTAATTGCCACATGGTTTACATTTTGTCATGGAAAATAATTTTTTTCATTAAAGAAAACAAGCATTTGTCAAAGTTTACAGGCTTGCAAATAATTGAAATACTGAAATATTGACAACATGTTTTTTATAAACATAAAAGATGCAACTAGTTGAGTACTGTATAATTATATAGAACATATAGTACTGAGAGCCATCAGCATACTTGTGTGTAGATGTTCTAGAATAAACATTTTATTTTAGTTGAGCTGATTTATTTGTTCATTTTCAGCTGTTGCATTATTTATTGTATAATTTAAGAATTTACAATATTCTATTTACAAAATTTTGATTTTTATGCTAATACAATTTTGTTTATCTGTTATAAGTCATTATAAAACTTTACTATGATTTGAGTTCTAAACTAGTCAAAGATCGTGCCATATAATTCAGGTATTTTTTTTTATTTTCTGGATTACATATGGATCTTACTAATAATTAAAAGCTAGTCACCAAGAGCAAGATAAATGTCATGAAATGCAATGATTCTGATATCTTTAAGCTAAAGCTGGGCATTCAGAAATTCTAAAACAGTTACAGGTCAAGTTGTCATTATAACTTTCGAAATTTAAGCCTGAAGGCACAGTGCAGCTCAATTTTTGTCCATTGCCATGCTAGGAATCTTGTTTGAAATAATTTCTAAAAATAATAAAAAAGATCAAAGGCACATTATGTCTAAAGAGATGAATATTGTTTCAAAATTTAGTTTTCTTAATATAAAAACAAAAATCACAAGCCAAATTTGTGACCATGGTACTTCGTTCAATGGTCAAAGGTTAGAAAACAATGTCACAACAGTGACAACACATTGTTTGATAGCATTGTTTGAATTAAATGATTTCTAAAATTGCGATAATTAAACTAGCATTTTTGTTCATTGTTTAAAAATTGCAATAATTAACGCTGGCAAAAATTCTGAAAATACAAAAGCTAATTTATAAGAAAGTGCTTCATTAGAACTCAGATAGATCTAGTATTACTGAATAAAGTATCAGTATTTTTACAAATAATTCACCAGCAATCTGAACTTTTATTGGTTGCAGGAAATGTTTGCAAGGAGGTGATATTTGCCTTCAAATACTGAAATACTGAAAATTTGAGTTCAGAAATCCTCATAACTTTTGCTTAAAATATATGAAAAAATATCTGGCATTAACAAATCCAATCAAACTTTAATATGATTCACAGTGATTTGCAAATTTGCATAAAACATAATAATTAAATAGCCTCAATTTTGTCAAAAAACATTTGCCACATATATGGACTGACTTATTTTTTTTAAAGTTGTTTATGGTATCCAAAATGCATATTTCAATAACAATTATTTGTTCTTTTTAGGACTTTTTAGGATGTCAATGTTTTCCACAAGGAAAGAGACCCTTAAAATGCATTTAAACATTAATTCAGACTGAAGTAAAACAATATCACACTTTGAAAGCATTTGATATAAAATTGAGAATGGAAATGGGGAATATGTCAAAGAGACAACAACCTGACTAAAGAGCACACAACAGCTGAAGGCCACCAATGGGTCTTCAACGCAGCGAAATGGACGTCACCCTAAACTCAAAAACATGTAAATGAACTAAAATTAAAAAACATACAAGACTAACAAAGGCTAGAGGCTCCTGACTTTGGACAGGCGCAAAAATGCGGCGGGGTTAAACACTGTTTAAGATTGATTAAGGACAACCAGCTGGTCCTACTCTTGTTCAACAGCTGTAAAAAATTGTTTTCCATTCTTAACAGTTACATTATTTTTGCCACACTTATATTTTGTTCATGTTCTTATATTTTATTTTTATGCCCTACCTAGGAGCATTATGTTTTTCGGTCTGTGCGTCCGTTCGTTCGTCCGATCGTTCGTTTGTCTGTCTGTCCGGCTTCAGGTTAAAGTTTTTGGTTGAAGTCTTTGGTCAAGGTAGTTTTTGATGAAGTTGAAGGCTAATCAATTTGAAACTTAGTACACATGTTCCCGATGATATGATCTTTTTTATTTTAATGCCATATTAGAGTTTGAACCCCAATTTCACGGTCCACTGAACATAGAAAATGATAGTGCGAGTGGGTCATCCCTGTACTATGGATTCATTGTTTGTTTATTGTTTGGTGTAGTTTGTTTTACTTTTAAAACTACAAATTTATCTTTCTTTTAGTAATTGTATAATTTGTTCCGTTGAAAAATTCTTTTACTGTGAATATTGTATAACTTGTTCAGCACATTTTGGGAAAAAAGAGAAGAAGATGAAAAAATGCAGTTTTGCCAGCTTTTTTTAAAGTAAAATTTGTTTGTCAGAGTATAAGAAAATTGAGACTAAATATTATCAATATTTTTGATGGAGGAAAGCAGGTTTTTCCCTGAAAATATTGCAAAAGACGACACATGACTTTCACCAGAGTTTCACTGGTTGTTTCAACCAGTGAAACAAATGTTTTCCTGATTTCCTGTGATGCAAAAGGATGTGGGGAATATTGATCGATATTGATTATGCACAAATTGTTATGGTATACTCTATATTTATCATTTCATAAAACAGGAAATGTTGCTACCAAAGAAATTATATCAGTCTATAGCATAAAATTTGGCAAGGGGATTAAGAGCTAGAAATATTGCATGGATGCCTGTCTTTTGTTGAAACTGTGTTAACCTCTAAATTTAGATTTGTTATTTGAGATGTTGGGTTGATTGATATTTCAGTAAGTTTTTGATAGATGATGGTTGTGAAAATGGTTGTGAAAATGTATTTAATCATCTGTTTTAATTGAAGTTTGTTTTACTTATAAATGTGTCAACACTACGATTGTAACCTACTTTGGCATGGTGTGCTTGATTCTAATTTTAATTGACAATGATTGCCAGCATTCCTGTTAAAGGTCGTAGTTCTCTCAGGTTAATCCAGCTTCTCCAACCAAAACAAAAACTGCCGTTATAGAGTCAAATTTACTGAAAGTGGTGTTAAACACCAACAATCAATCAATCACTTTATATGATGTGATGCATGATGTCTAAGCTATCTTCTTAGCCAGAATCAAGAACAGTGAACGAAGTTAGTCATTGCATGAAATAGATAATGTTCGTGAACTTTAGGGAGCTACCATTATGGGGGGGGGGGGGGGGGGCGGCTAAGATGAAATTTGAAAAAAAAGGCAGGACAGGAGTTTTGAGTAAAAAAAAGAGCAGGATGAGCAACTTGGTAAAAAAAAAGGAAGGATGACAATTTGTGTAAAAATATTCAGGATAAACTAGTAAAAAAAAGGCAGGACCGAATAGAGTAAAAAATAAAAAGGCAGGACAGAGATTACAACTAAAAAAAAAGCAGGACAAAATTTTTCATCCTAGGATTTTTATGGGGGGGCTAGGATGAAATTTGAAAAAAATAGGCCGGACAGGAGTTTTGAGTAAAAAAAAAGGCATGATGAGACACTTGCAAAAAAAAAAAACCAGGACGACAATTTAGGTAAAAAAAAGTCAGGATAAACTAAAAAAAAAAGGCAGGACCGAATAGAGTGAAAAATAAAAAGGCAGGACAGAGATTACAGCTAAACAAATTGCAGACAACATTTTTCATCCTAGCCCCCCCATAAAAATCAAATGGTAGCTCCCTTATGAAACAAATACATGAAAAACAAAATCAGCATTTATATAAAAATTCTATTCACAGGGAAATGAACAATAAGTGGCCATTAAGCTGTCAATATTGCTTTTGGATTGTGTGTCAAGAATTATAACACCATTATCCCTTCTTTTCCATAGTGAAATATTCTTGTTTGGTCAAAAACCCTTACTTTCTTACATGCAGAATTTTGAATCTTATAGTATGAGAAGTTCTTTTACATATATGCGGTAGTGAGGATAAAATACTGGTTATATTGCACTTTCAGTTATGTATGAATAGTAACTATTATTTAACAGCTTTTCATTGTATTACATAGGTCAATTCAACCCAGCCATAATTTTAAACACAAAAAGTGGAAGGGGTGATATTGTTACCATGGCATGACATTGTTATTTCTGTTTTTGTATATTTTTGTATTTTGTGGAGAGTTACTTTTATGAAGAAAAAACAAGTTTAACAGTGCATGTACAAAAAGGCCTATATTTGTTTCTTCAAACTGCCAAAAAAAAAATTTGTTTGAAGTCTTGCCATTAAAAAGCCACAGCCTTTACCAAAACAATTTTTTTTACAAGACATCTTATCACAGATGTATTTACTATAGGTGAAACAGATTCTAGAAAGGCTGTGGCTCATTCTGTTTTTGCCAAAAAAAAAACTATATGTACATTGGCCACTTAAGGTCAAAGGGTGGAGGGACGGGAACAACAGTCCTTTTAAAAGAAGGTCAAGATATTTTGTGCATCAGTTAGCAAGTATTTCGTAGTGCTACTATAGTTTGACCTGTATTAAGATCCCTATATTGTTACAAAGTACAAATATATGTTTATATGTCTTTCATTTTGTGTTGAAATGGATGGAGAAAAAAAATACAATTGTTACTTTTATCATATAATTAAAATATAAAGGGTAAAGGAGTTGTCATTTTAATATTAACGATTATTTAAATTGAAATTGTTCATCTTGATATTGCTTCCGTTTTATAGACCAGGTTGCACGACGTACATATGCAATTTGTCGTATAATGAATTGGGCTTGGACCAATGAGTATTAAAGTCTATTGGCAAGGCAGAGTAAAGAAGGTACTTGTTTTTGTAATCATCTTCTACAGTTTCCAACCTACACCTTCAAACTTTCTATAATGTTTGTAAAATATTTAAATTGGAATATGTTCACCTCGCTTTGCTCCATAATTGGAGAGAATCTTGAAGAGTATTTAGAATCAGAAACTGTCTACACATATATGTATATGTATTTGGAAAGAGATCAAAGGGACATTCAAACTTATAAGTCGAGAACAAACTGACAATGCCATGACAAAGAACGAATTTTACGAAACAGTACACAAAACACAACATAGAAAGCTAAAAACTGAGCAACACGAATCCCACCAAAAACCAGTTGTAATCTCAGGTGCTCCGGAGAGTAAGTAGCTCCTGCTCCACATGTGGCATTCGTCGTGTTGCTCATGTAAGTACACAACCAGTGATAAGTCTAATTTGGTAAGTCACATTCGAGGAAAAGAGGACGAGATTGTGGTTACAACAGATTGAACATATCCGTCGTCATCAGTGAAGAATATCTACCAAAACGGTCAACCAACTCGTGATGGCGTCCGTATAATTTTCGAAGGGATGAATTCAAAATCACCACTTGCAAAAGGAAATCATGATAGGAAATGTAAGATCTGGAATATCGTATCAACCGGGAGATATATACTCCACTTTCAGGTGCGGCTGGAATATTGCTACATAGAAATAGAAAGTTCACAATTTTGAAGCTGACATCATCTCCTTTTTTTCTCTCAACCGACCCTTTTTGTCAATTTTCTAGATATAAGTCAAGATATGAAGCAGACTTAATTGTATCGGTTGTATCATTTATTTCCAGTTCGATGGGATAGATGCGTTCCACATAGGCATCAAACATTGAATTAATTAGTGAGAGGACATCATCATTATATCGGAACGTGAAGTTAAAGGATAATGCTAGCTTCTTTTCATTCTTCCTAAGAAGCTCCAGTATGAAGTCAGCCTCATATCAGTAAAAGAACATGTCGGTAAGAAGAGGAGCACAATTGGTTCCCATTGGAATGCCGATTGTTTGTTGAAAAACACGTCCTCCAAATGTTTTAAATCTAAAGGACGTCTCTATACGTAAAATATTATACTATTTATAACCGTCCCTTCCTAACATGTATTGTTTGTTTTCATCATGTTATTTCAAGTGTTAAACAATATAAAAAGTATAACAAAAATACCGAACTCCGAAGCAGATTCAAAAAGGGAAAGTCCATAACAACTGATAAAATCAAACGCTATCAATCAACGGAACAAGTGAAAAACAACTGCCATATTCAGGTATTGGTATAGGCATTTTCCGAAGAAAATGGTGGGTTAAACCTGGTTTCATAGCTAGCTAAACCTTCCATTTGTATTACAGTTGCTTATAGTTCCGTTATATTGATAAAATTTGCATGGCGAGCATCCCAAACAGACATTATTAACACCGCCACATTCTACATGTGCCTGTCCCAAATCGGAAGCATATTTCAGTGGTAGTCGTTTGTTGCTGTATATCATATTTGTTTTTCGTTCATTATTGTGTACATAAATCAGGCCGTTAGTTTTCTCGTTTGAATTGTTTTACATTTGTCATTTCGGGGCCTTTTATAGCTGACTATGCAGTATGAGTTTTACTCATTATTATTGTTGAAGGCCATACGGTGAACTATAGTTGTTTGTTTCTGAGTCATTTGGTCCCTTGTGGAGAGTTGTCTCATTGGCAATCATTCCACATCTTCTTATTTTTATATAATAGGTTAATGCGACAATAACTGAGTAAAACAAAACAAACTGCATTGTACTATATAAGCATTATAATTGTATATCATATGGCATTGCAATTTATCTGCCATTTCCTCTTTATAATTAATTTCTCTTGTAAGACATAATGATAGAGAGTATACAATAAAGAAATGAATTGAATTGTATTAAGACATCAACATTTTGGCATGTGAATTTAAATGTCATGATTATAAATTAAGAAATAAAGAGGAATCCTGCAAATTGTCCTTGTTCTGTGTTTGTTCCCGTGGTACACCTTGTTGAATTTTTCACTGTTACTGTTGCACCGTTTGCTGTAAAGGACGTCTTGCAATCGACTCCATAATATGTTTTTACTTTGATGTCCTTCAACAGCAGAGTGTACGACGTGTTTGCTTTTATCAGTACTGGTCCAAAAGTATATTTCTTGCTTCCTGTAGCCTCTGTTGGTAGGTTTAAAATCGATGAATAAATACATATGTTCTTCTCGTTTAAAATCTCAAACTCAAACGACCGATAATTGGATGATATCTCTCCTGTTGGTCCAAAAACAACGACTCCATTTGTCCATATGTTTTTATCCGACTCAATATCAAGAGCATCTACACCACGTGCAGTCCAATTGGAACGACGAGTTGCATGTCGAGTAAAAGTATGTGTCGCCCTTTTTGCCAGTGGCACCCTTGTTTTTTCTACAAATACATCACTTTTCTCTCCATAATGCGATCGGAAAACATTCACAATTTCTGGAAGAGTTAATATGCCTGTATGAGAAACAAACTGGGAAAAATATGTTTTGTCTACTAAGGGAAACCGAATAAGATATAACAGATTACCTACAACGCTTCTTAGATTTTCGGGATTTCTTTCTACGTTTGCTGCTTCAATGCTTTTGTCAGTCCAAGTCAAGAAAAACTTACAGATATCCGTCTCTGTACACGATAAATAGTCGGACTGTAATATCATCTCTACACATTCTTTAGAGAGGTTGATTGCATGTACAGATGCTAAACACGCTTTCGAGTTACTTTCAATAAACTGCAAACTTTCACGTTGAAGAACTTCAAGATGAAATTGTGAAGCAGTTGAAAGGGCAACAACTGCATCAGAGGAACGTGCAGTCGTTTTTAAAAGATCTGAACACTTCTTTTTTACCCTGGATAACATGTACTTGTCAGCTGCATACAATATATCTCTTACATTTTCATTTGTTATCTCAATTTCGTCACTGTAAATGTATCTGTACAATGAAAAAGAAAATTATACTAAGTCAATTGATATTGTAAATAATAAAAAAAACACTATAATTGTGTTGTGTGTCCGAAAAAGGGAGGATTTTGAAACATTTGACAAGCAAAATAAAAACGCACATATCAGTATGTAGAATATTATTTGACTATTATTTGTAACTTTTTTTTTTAAAACAAATCACTTGATAAATTTTTTTTAAATATACAGCATAATAGCTGTTTTTTTTTGCTAAAATAACGAAAATTTAATAAAATAAATTATTTTTAAAGAGTTGTTACACATAGAGCAAATTGAATATGTCAAAAATAACTCGTATGCAAATTTAAGAGTAAGTAACCTCATATTCTCCCTCATAACTTCGTCAGAATCAAATTTAAGCATTTCTGTGGCATAAAATGAAAAAAAGAGGATTTTGAAAGTGACAAGCAAAATAAAAACAAACATATTTAGTCTAATAGTCTAGAAGTAAGTCCTTTCATTTCCATTTCCAACATTTTTATTTTCAAAATGTTAGAGGGGGATCCTTACTTTGAAATTATATAATTACATATTCTCATCCGTTATCCGCCAAACTTTTACCAGGGGCGTGTTTTATTGGTCTCTTCTGTACATCTGAATGTCTTCTGGTGAACTTGAGAGTCCAAACAAATGAACTAATTGGACCTCTTCTGGAGATATTCTGCAGAAGGACCAACCAAACACAAATTCAATTTGCCGTCGAATACAGCAGAGTTTACGATGATTTATTAGAAAACTTAGTTACGTCAATTTATTATTAGGTAGACATGACTGTAATAGTGTTCTCTGTTTTAGCATTGCTGTAATTATACAAAACAAACAAAAATTGGTTGGGAACATCGCTGTGTTTGTGACATTTTTTCTTTATGCTTTCCTAACTTAATTTAGCTGAACAAATCTAGCTTAAAGCCCCGACCGTTTGATTTTCAGGAATAATCTTAAATTGCACATTGAGAACTTGTCAATGTTTGTCTGGTACATGATCGAAAAGGAAATATTGTCTATCAAACATTTTTAAAGTAACCAAACTGGATTATTTTTGTATATAAAAGATATCGCAGAGTTATCAAAACCTTGCAAAATACCAAGATTGTGCCGGACCACCACTTTTCGAGAACCGTAATTGTAAGGTATACAAGGTCATTGAGTTTCTCAGACTGCGCATGTTTATAACTAAATCCGTTGGTTTTGTACTGATTGATAATTTAGTCTGGGAGAAATGATTTAGTTTTTGTAAGTGGTAATTGGCTTTTAACAAGCTTTCAGGGTCTTCAAATACTCTTATTTCGGTGCTTTGTGTCTATTGTCTTAATGGCCGACTATACGCTATGGGTTTGTGTCATTGTTGGAGGCCATACGGTTGCCTATAATTGCTTACATCCATTTCATTTGAACTCTGGTGGATAGTTGCCTATAACTGCTTACATCCATTTCATTTGAGCTCCGGTGGATCATAGTTGCCTCATTGGTATAATCATACGTACAATATCTCCTTATTTTTATATTATATACCCGACTTTTAAACTCATGTTTTCCTGAAATATTTGTCACTGGATGTTTAAAAATAAGCAACCAACAATCAAAAAGATTAAAATGAATAATAAATCCGCAAAAAAAAAATCCTCCTGCCCCCTTCCCCCTATCCAGAATATTAAATAGTCGTCCCCTTGCTGTTATTGTCCGTGTAGTTCTTTATATATTTATCCAGCTTAATTGGAATATCGTCCCTACATGGATGTTCTACCTGGGACTATTATATCAATATATTATGTCCCATGCAGGTCCTACTAAGGCTGTAATACCATAAAAACGTTTATCACACTGCTCACATTCTATTATATCTGCATTCATTAATTTTTTAATGTCATTTAGACTAAACGACGCCATGTTTGTTATGTGCCTCTGCCGTCTTATCCACCTATTTAAAAGGAAGAGGTAGGAGAGAGAGAGTAAAGATTCTCAATGCAAAAACACAGGACTTCTTCTGGCTCACTACCGAAGAACAAAAACAAACGCCCCATGGCCAGTGCGGTTTACATAACCATGACAACAATCTAAAATTAGAATACTGACCGAACTGTGTAAAAGAAGTATAAACATATTAATAGAAAAGTTAAAAGCGTCATAAAAGGTTAATAACTCCAAAAAAAGAATCGACTAACGATTTTGGTTATGTTAACTATTTTGCTATTTAAAGTTACTCTTCATCTATTACAATTATTGCAAAAAAAGACAAATTCATTTTGGGCAATCAGTTGCTCTTTGAGAAATAATCCAAAAGTTAAAGGCGTTTTTTGTGTTAAATATTTAAAAAAATAGCTTTTATGAACATTTTTGATAAAAAAAATCACTGTAGAATCAAAGTTTGTATCGTATTCTCTCAACATGTTGGCAACTTAAAACGGATTTTTAGATATTTCAGACTAAATGCTATAGATTTTTTATTTTTTTAGCAACAATTGAGATTCATACACCCGCTTAGCAAGTTTCCTGCAGGGTTAATAATGCTGTCTTGTATGTACATAATGCTATATATAAGCGTCTGGTACACGTTTTTGTCTGAAGATTTATAGTATTTGTTACATCTTGTCTTTTTCAGCCGTTTTTGTTCATCAGCTTCTTAGAAGTTTTCAATGACTTACTTCAATACCAAGTCGAATGTATTCTCATCAATATCAGGAACATTTATATTGTTCGTCTCTGGCATTGACCCCTGGAACATTGTGTGAAAAACAGGACTGCGGCTACACAACATGTATCTATGTGCTTTGATAGGTTTACAATCTTCACCAACAAGAAACGTCACATCACATATAATTTCATTCTTCAGCATATACATCATACATTCTGGTAATGTTTTATTTTCCATCCATTCTGAAAAATCTTTGTTTTGAACAGCCATCTATCAAAAGGCATTGTGGGTGTAATATTATAATGCATAAAATAATTAAATTGATATAGATGATATAATATAGTTATAATATATTAAACAGTATACTTTTGTAAATATAAATTGGAAATAAGAGTCGCAGTGTCGGATCCAAAGAGCGTAGAGGGTGAACGACCCCATCTGATCGTCCCCAAAAAAAATTGTTATATCATGTTTTTCACAATTTAAATAATTTTTTAGCATGAAATTGTCTTAAATTTTTCGGTATATACACCTTTTTTTGGAACTACGCCACCCGTTCAAACATGATGGATCCGCCCCTGATATCTATATGTATCATAATTTTCGGCTTAAAACTTCGTTCAACGTTCAATGTTTTATTCATGCGAGTAATGGCCTTCTTCTGTTTCTTTGTTAGACATAAAGAATGACAGTGATAGGAAATAATGGTTTGATGTCTTTGTTTTAGTAGGTTTTCTCGAAGGTTTCCTAATATTATGCCCCTTCACACATAATACAAACACTGATAATATTACTAGTCGTTTCCTTACTTGATACACATGTCGTAAAACTCAGGATTGAGCATATATTTTCAATGGTTCAAGATGATAACCAGGAGTGAAGTGTGGCATTTTAATATTTCTTAACATGAATAATTTTCCTTTATCATGACCTGGAGATTTGGAACCAGACGGCCAACACCCAACGCTTCCTATCACTTTACAAAAAAAAAATACTATTTTGGTAGGAAAGACATTATTTTTCAATTGTTCAGATAAAACTCCAAAGTTTCAGGTTGTTCTTCCAGGGAAGTATTTTTATTTGAAGTTGATTTACTAACTTCTTTAATAAAGGATAGGAACATTGTGCTAAATGTCAATGAGACCACAACAGGCAAATCTAAATAAAGTTCCCTATAGTCACAAACAACTTCCCCACTTGGAACTACATTTCTATGCATGTTTTTTTGTTGTAAAGAATAAAATGTATTGAATTTATTTCCCTTCTTCAACTGAGGTGGGGACTTGACAAAATAAGAGACGTTTCCTAAGGAACTTGGTAGGCAAATGCTCGCATTAGATATGTGCTGAGACAGTGTGGTAAAATACCCTCTTTAAACCATAACCCATGGTGGTTCTCCTCGGAGGCGGTCTTATAAGTTTAGTGATGGACAGTCTTTGGACTGAATGCTTTCTTACTACCTGATTAAAAGATATTACTGACTTTTTCATAGTAAAAGTCTTTTGATTAGTTGGAGCAATTCGAAACCTAGAAAGTGTCCTTCAATCCCGCAGAGTGTCGGGTTTGCACTCTTTATTTTAGTTATTAATGTTGCATCGTGATGAATCGTGCATATCGAGAGTACACAGGATCAGTATTCTATATACAGACGAAACTCCTGAAATTTTGTAATGGGGTAAAATATGGAATGATCACTTGTGCGTTTTTATCAGTTGCTCGTTGTTATGAATGTTTAGAGTCATTATAGTTGAAACGTATATGAAAACCTAGTGACACATCGCGCATGTTAACTTTTTTATTTTGTATAATTAAACATCTGAGTCCTCCTGGCTAAAATGTATATTATTTTGTATTGTATATATGTTTTGTAAATAGATGCATATTCATGTACATATTTTGTATACTCTCTGTACCTCCAATGGTCATGTGAATAAATAAATTCTATTGTATATATATCTGAAATCTAATAGAAAACTATGAATTGATATTTCTATATATGTATGTATATGTGTATTATACAGAAAGATGTTGACATGAGGGAATAAATAATAGAGAACACTTATCAAAATTTTAAGAAAAAAAATAGATGCTAAATTTTGAATATTTTATTAAGGACTATTAATGATTGTATGGGTTTGACGTGTTACATTTTATAATTTCTAGATTTTTAAAACAAATTATGTTATTTTGATTGAAAAGTCTATGTAAAAATATATTGAACTTCATTTTTTTGGATAAATTTCTTGTATATTATACCATTGTATACATTGGATTTGTACTTGAAATAAATAATCTGATCTCTATATTTCTTATTTGATATATCCGGAGAGAAACATACGTAATTGTGGTATTATGTCAATGAGTCAAACATAAATTCATTCATTAACATTAATTAATAAAATAGCATCAACACAGATCAGTTGCAAAATTATCACAATTAGATAATACATCAAATCACAAATAAATTGCCGATTTCAACAACAAAAATCCTCAGAGAGGCAACAGTACCACAGTACTTTGCTTTCAAGTCGAATTATCTACCTTATGAATAATTAGTCCGCCATATTGTTTTCAACAAGGAATTTGCATACAAGACATACAAATCGACTTCCTGAAGATAACTTGTACTTGTATTGATTTTTTCACGACTAAAACGTCTTAAACCTTATAATTGTATGCTGTTACACTAATTTAAGCTGTATAACACCATGTAAAATCTTGTTATCGGGACAAATCAGTTTGTTTTCGGGATATTATTTTGTTCTCGTTATTCTCGGGAAATCGTGGTACCCTTTCCTCGGTTATATACATATTGATACTTAGTAAGATAATCAGAAGGTAACAATTTAATTGAAAAACGGATACTGTTAACCAAACCAATTAGTTACGATTAATATTGATTAATACGGGAATAAATTAATTTAGAGGGGTTTGTGCTGGGCTAGACGATGCCTAGCTATATCTTACGCAGAATGGCGAAAATACTGTTGGAATCGGATTACTTGAAAACTGATGTTTTCTATAGGAATTCAAAATCATGTATAGACATACAAACACTATGATTATAAAACAGAAAGACATCTACACGTCAACATATAAACGCTCTCCCACAATTAAGAAATGAATGCTTCTTTTTGTAATTTTATTGGGGTGTAAAAGTGTTGACCGAAGCACATTTTGTATTAGTCCGAGATTACTCTGACGTCCAACGGCTGTTTTGCCAGACAAGCTGGGGCCGTGGGACGTCAGAGCTCGTCCCATATCAAAAAGTGGATATTTGCCCGTCCAAAATAGATGCGCTGCTTCGTCGCTTCTGGTGCCAACGGACGGCCTTGGAATTATATAAATCGGGTATCAATTTGTTCATTTTTCATTTATCTCTTCATTTTCACCTACCTGCCACCCTTTATTTTCTCATATTTAGACAGTTTTCACAGTGACCCACCGATTTTGGCATTTTGACTTTCATTTTGAAAGATTGTCATGTGATCACCAGAAAAAAGTAAGGCACAATGGACTATGGGAAATGATGTATGCATATGACCCTAGGTCAATATGAATATATAATCTAACACCTCGCTCATTTACGATGCAAGCAATGTAAATATCCGAGAGCTTCCGAATGTTATCGTGGTTGGCACTAAATGCTTAATACCGATCTCCTGTAAAGGAGGTGGAAAATCGTGGTTGGCTACTAAATGTTAAATATCGATCTCCTATAAAGGAGGTGAAAAAAGTATAAATATTTGCATATTTGAGTCTTGAGTCTCGAGGTCGCAAAATCTCTCGTAACTTGACGTCCATTTGAAAATAAAAGTAAAAATGTCTGAATCGATGGGTCACTGTGAAAACTGTCTTAATATGAGAAAATAAAGGGTGGCAGGTAGGTGAAATTCCAAGGCCGTCCGTTGGCACCAGAAGCGACGAAGCAGCGCATCTATTTTGGACGGGCAAATATCCACTTTTTGATATGGGACGAGCTCTGACGTCCCACGGCCCCAGCTTGTCTGGCAAAACAGCCGTTGGACGTCAGAGTAATCTCGGACTAATTTTGTATGAAGCGCGGAAAGTTTTTTTTTATTTACCTGGAGCAGGAACATATATATTGACGTTAGATATACTGTTCCCAGCCTGGAGTCGGATTGTAATTAAATATTTGACACATTATAGGTTTCTGACACAGATTAAATGTAGTCAAAGAACTTAAAATTGGTTATATGATTTGAATTTATTTTCAATTGAAGATTTCTTGCTTTTGTGCAATACACTGTGCTGAACTGCGCAATACCTAGTAAATCTGTTTTCAGACTATATACAAAAAATAGCAATAGTGACCCCCAATTTTTCTTTGGAAAATTTAAATTGACAATTTCTTAAATCTTGAAGAAAAAACTGGACACCCCCAATCCCCCCCAAAAAAACATTTTATTTCTTAAATCTTGAGGATAAAAAATTGTCCCCCCAAATTTTTTTTTACCCCCCCCCCCCGCCCAAATTTTTTTTAACCTCCCCCCCCCCCCTTTTCCAAAAGATATAACATTTGAAGAAGAACATTTTTTTTTCTAAAATGTGGTACAATTTAAGAGACATCAATACACTTAAACACAAGTTATTGTCTGAAAACTAGAAAAATGCTTGTTTGAGACCCTTTTTGGCCCCTAATTCCTGAACGGTTTGAACAACTACTCAAATTGATTTTGGCCTTGTCCAACTGACTCCTTTTCCTATAGCCTTAAAACGTTGATTAGTTAATTTATCGGGACTATCATGACCAGTGACCAGTACATGTACATTAACTTTATTAGGTCAACGCTCAAGCTAAGTTTTTTCTAGATCTCAACACTTAATTCGTTTTGAATGACAAAAGGAAGATAACAGATTGTTTTAATATAAGTTTTAAGGATCATTTTTGAAAAGATGTGAGAAATCTTTTGAAAAATATTTTAGTGTTCTTTAACGTTTGAATTTTACTACGTTTCACGCTCTATACAATTTACGTGACCTACTATGAATGCAACAGATACAGGCGGAAGTGGACATACAACAACCAACCCATGCAAACACTTATGGAGTGCATCTGTTATTATGGTGGAGGAAGACGAAGTACTCGGAATGAGGAAGCTCATACAGATCATCCATACATACATACAATCATTCACCGGGTACACATACAATTGATATTTTCTGATAATGTTCAAAAATGACAACACCTCAATTCAATTATGAAACCTGCAAAGTACTTGTATTACTACGATTGATGATTTTGTTTTTATCTTTATCAAAAAATCGAATTGTTCAGTAAAAATACTTGTCAGGGTGGTCTACGATCGACCATGAACGACCATGAAGTGGATGGGGCAATACTTATTTTCATTTTTCTTTAACCTTTGAATTTAAGTTTAAGGGTGCATGGTAACTATACAGTTATTTTAAGGTTCGATATCGATCATCAAGAGGAATTGAAAAATATGGCCGTGTTTACACCACAAAATCTACAATGAGTACGGACAAACTGATGCATCTAGGAAAGTTTTAAGGCATGGCAGGACCTAGATATATAAAAGTTATATGTAGTTTCTGTTTCAGAAAATAAAAAACTTACCTGGATTTTGATGTGCATTTTTTAACACACATTGGGGGAAATAACGTACAATAAGGATTTGATAGAATACTCAATAAAGATCAAAATGGCATTTGTTATAAACAAAAACCGAACATTTTCATAAAAAATCATATAGAACATTATCGTGATTTAAAAGTTTAAATTGACCTTCTAGTTAACCATTTTTACCTTTTTCTACTTTCGAAATCAAATCCACGTTACCTAAGAGTGTCATGTGATCGACAACTAAAGATTAATATCACGTGATCAACACTAATAAACTGGAGGCCCATGGTAGTTCTCGTCAATTCTGTCTATGGTGCATTTTTGCTGTTACACAACTTCTCTGTTTAGGGTAAGGGAAAGGGGTATGCCAGGGTTTAACTATTATTCGTTTCACTGTTATTGAGTCAATTTTAACCGCTTCTTCTGAATACTTCTGATTTACTTTACGTGTATAATGATGGAAAATTGTATGAAGGATAATGAAAGTAAAATAAAGTAAAATAGAAATAAATAGATAGCTAAATTGCCATATTACATTTGAAATTTACGAATTGCATTGCTATTTTAGTGTTTGAGACTGAAAAGGTGACGTAAGATTAAGCATAGACATATAATACAATTGCATTATATGTCTCTGGATTAAGTAAATGAATAATTTCGGCTTTTGGTAATAACATAGTTTAACTTATACGTACATGTAACGATGGAAAATTGTAGGACTTAAAATAAAACTAAAATAAAGCAAAATTAAAAAATAAATAAATAAATTATAAAAATATTAAAAATCAATCAACGAAAAAATAATGTCTCTGTAAATAATAGATAGATAGATGAATCAATCAATCAATAAATAAATAAAAAGATAAATAAATAAAAAGATAAATAAATAAATAAATAAATAAATAAATAAATAAATAAATAAATAAATAAATAAATAAATAAATAAAAATATTGCATTTGATATATACGAATTGCAGTGCATAAGTTTTTGAGACAGAAAAAGGGACGTAAGATTAAATAATAAATAATTTTGTCTTTTGGAAATGATATAGTTAAACTTCAGTATATATATATATAATGATGGAACATTTTGTGTTGATTAATGAAAGTATATTAAAGTTAAATGAAATAAATAAATATACATTCATTCATTCATTCAGTCAGTCAGTCAGTCGCCCGTTCGTTCGTTCGTTCGTTCGTTCGCTCGTTCGTTCGTTAGTCCGTTCATTTAAATGGCAGTGCTAAAGTTTTTGAGACAGAAAGGATGACGTTAGATTAAATGATAAATTATTTTGTCTTTTGGTAATAATATACCGGGTTTGTACTAACAAGAGTAACACGACAAGTAATTCATGTCGAGCAGGATCTGCCTATCCTTCCGGAGCACCTGAGATCAATCTCGGTATTTGGTGGGGTTCGTGTTGCCCAGTCTTTAATTTTCTAATTTGTGTTTTGTATACTTTTATTTGTTTTTTTACTGTTTTTATTTTCTTGTCATGGCATTGTCAGTTTGTTTTCGACTTACGAGTTTGAATATTCCTTTGATATCTTTCGGCTGTCTTTTATGTAGGATTAAAATGTAGTAATGCTTTAAAAGTATTACATTCTTCTTCAATTGTTTACAAACTAAAAGAAGTTGATAGAGGGGATAACATGAATAGAAGAACACAAACAAGCTTAATTAAGGAGGGTTGCTAGACTCTAGTTGAAGGAGTTAACTCTTTAAGTAAGTACCCAAATGTGTTTCAACTAGTCAGTTTCGTTTATGCTATTCTAGGTAGGTTTGCGTCAACTATTTTTATCAATATATTTATCAATTATGGACTTTTGACGAGGTCAACACATTAAATAATTTGCAAGATTTTGATATTTGACCGTCAATATAAATATATATATATATAAATGTAAACATAGCGACCATATACATAAAAAAGAAAGAAACAAGACATGAAATACTCTTTGAATCACTTGATTGTAATGACCAATGAGAACAGAAGAATGCCAGATCAAATGTAATATTTAGATATGGTTGACGCAAGCCTAGACCCTGTTTTCATAAAAGAGTCATAGGAAGAAGAAACACATGCATGCTGACACAGAGCAAGACAGTCCAACATTTTCATTAGATGTTTGCAGAGACGTATGCATAGACAATTTGATTTTCGTAAAAGTGGTAAAAACGCAACAGTTTTTGGAGAGGGATCATATTTTGCAAGGGTTGCAAGTTATAGTCATAATTACACAAAAGCATTATCAGATTTTGGTGACAGGTACATGGTCAGGGCGAAAGTTTTAGTTGGGAAATTTACAGTGGGTAGCTCAACGTATCGCAGACCACCAGAAATTCCAGGGCAGACTGTATGATTCTTGTGTTGACCTACCGGTAGATCCAACAATTTTTGTCATTTTTTACAGGAGTCAAAGTTACCCAGAATACCTTATCAACTACAGAGAAAATGATTATGGTCAGAGAAGTATTTCATTTACGACAACACATAGTTCAGCACCGTCCTATCCATTATCAGCAGGAACTTCTCAGCAACCAATACACAAAAGAATGCCTCCAAAAAGTTCTGCGTACTCCTAGGAGGAACCAGTTTAGGAGTTGCACGGAAACCAGTACAATAAAATATGCATTCAACAAGTTCTACTGCCTATTCCTCAGGAGGAACCAGTTTGAGAACTGCATCTAGATTGAATACTAATTCTATTTCAGCATCAAACTCGCCAAGTGGAACCAGTTCTAGTGCTTCATCAAGATATAATCCTGTTTCTTATTCAGCATCAGGTATGGGGAGCAGTTCAAGTTCATCCAGTTCAAATAATCGTTCTACTAGTTTTCAGCCTTTTCATCATTTTAATGTGAGTTCTGGCAGTAGTCAACAACCATCTTCATCACAAAACTACACCAGAACAAGTAAAAATCAGGATAAAGATTGTGTTATCTTGTAATAACCATTGCTTGCTACTGTGGATTCATTAGTTGTTGTGATTAACAATTGTTGTGGATTGGGGAAAAATGGTATTGTCGTGAATATTTGATATCATGGTTTTGAAAATAGTTGTCAATATTCTGTATCACGCGAGCATAATCCTTAATAGAAAATCACATTGAAATGACATGGTCTCCTCAGGGACTTAAACCTAGGATC